CCCGCCGGTGCGCACGACTTGTAGTGCGAGCGCTTGGCAACGGCACGAGCCCGTGGGGCAGCTACGTGCGTCTCAAATCGTCGCCCGTCGAAGCGCTGAAGATGACCTGGAGACTTCGCAGCCTCGGCCAGGACCTACGAAGCCACCTTGCCCTCCAAGCTTTCTCCTCGTTCCGTCTCGACGAACGACGTGCCGGCGCGGAGAAAGCGTCAACTCGTCGACCGCACCCTCGAACCCTTCTCGCACTGGCAACCTCCTCCTCCCCGCCAGTCTCCCTCGCCAGCGCTGGCCGCTCAGCCTTCTGATCAACCAACACAAGGCATCTTGCGACGGCGCGAGACGACCGGTGTCGTAGGAGGGTGGGCACCTTCGCTGTCCAGTGCCGGGCGGGAGAAGAAGAAGGTACGGGTCGAGTCGCCTCGAACGAGCGGGGCGCGAGTTGCGGAGGAGGAGAAGAGGCGGAGTGACAAGGGAAAGGGGAAGGCGAACGAGGCAGGTGCGAAGGAGCTCGTTCCGCCAACGCCGATCGAGCGCGAGGAGGCGAAGACGGCGAGGGGAGACAACCCCGAACTTGCGGACGGCGCGATCAAGCGGTGCATTCCATACGTGCGTGAATTTTTGCGCTCATTCTTTGATCTCTACTGACACGACTCGTCTTCGCAGCCTCACTGCCACAATCCCTCCACCTTGGTCGCCGTCAACATGGATCCCGCTCGGCAGCACCCGTCTCGCATCCTCCATTCTTTCGTCGATCCATCTTTCGACCCGCTCGCCTCGACTCTCGCCGCAGCGAACGGTGCAGCGACAAACGGCACGAATCAATCGCAGTACACGCTCGCCTCGCAACTCCCGCTCGACTCGCCTATCACCATGTCGTACCTCCAGCCCGGTCGTCGAGGAGCGTGGCTTATACCCGTCTCTGCGTCCTTGCCCATCCCGCACACCTCGCCCGTCAGATGGTTCGCTCAGCCTCCTCCGCCTCAGTCCTCTCCATCGCCGACTTCGGCCGAACGCTCGATCGACTGGACCGACGCACGACTCCGCGCACTGTGGTCGTTTCTGACTTCACTCCACGAGTCAGGTTCGTTCGGCCGACTTCGAGCAGTCGCCTGGTTCCCGCCTTCGTCGTCCGCCTCCGCCTGGCCAGAGATGATCCGCCTCAACTGCGACGCACACCTAGCACTCGCCATCCGAGGCTTGTTGGCGCAGGCAAATGTCAAAGCGCTGCGCGGTGTAGCGGGTGAAGGAGGAGGAAAGAAGCGAAGGAAGGACGAGGAGGAGGACGGCGAGAAGTGGCTCAGGGGGCGGGCGCTCGTCTGGGTCGACGATGAGGGAAGAGCGGTGTTGACGGCGTAGAAGAGGTAGACAGAGCTGTACAGGACGACACGGAGATGCGGTTCGTTCCTTGTATTTCCGTTACAGTGTTGTTGCCATTTTCACCTTTTCCCGGCGGCTTCGCAGTCACACTCGACGAAGATGAGCTCATTTTGCATCGTCTGGCAAGCATCTGAGCGTCCGCTGTCGAGGTGAACTTCTCCCCGTTCTCATCGCTCCGCTTCTTCGTCTCGACCACAACGGACTCATCGCACCGCTCGGCTCCGCCTGCATTCTACCGCTGTCTCTCGAGTTCCTCCAGCTCTGTCTGGGCGCCCGCGCGAGCAGCGTGTCCCTTGCGACCGTGGTCGCTCTCCCCAAACCAGAGGCTTCCTTGCTCTCGACGAACTCCTCTCCACGGCTCGCTGCTTACGGCTGCTTGCAGGACAGTTGACTGAGCGTACTGTATCGGCACCGCGACCTCATCGCCATCGTCTCTCTCGTCGCGACTCTCCTCCTCCTCGGCCACACTCGTCGCTCGAGCTTCTGCCTACATGATGCAAGAGACGCAGACTTTCGCCGCTACTTCCGAAGCCGAGCGCTCCCTCCTTCTCCCTCGAGCCCGCTGCCGCTCGGCGCCTGCAGTTCTAGTCACCGATCCACACCTCGATAGCATGCGCGTGCGCGGGCACCTTGGGAAGGACACCATCGGCATCTTCAATGGGGCCGGCGTTCTGCGACAGGCGAGAGAGGGCAGGCGCGAGATCGCGGGTGCGGTGAGTTCAACGGTCGATGGAACGGCCTCACCATTCGCAGCCCTGGAACGCCCGCCAATGCTAACGACGTGGCGTTCTTGGGCCACCAGATCCGTTGCTCTGACGAAGCCTCTCCTCCGACCTCCGAGCGAACCGACACAACCGACAATGCCCTGCAGGATCGCGAAATACTTCTCTCCGACATCAACAACATGATCGAGGCCTGCGGACGTTTGACGGCAGAGATTGCAGGAGAAGTGGCCCGGATGCAGGCGGAGGACCTCGAGATGGAGCGACTGGATGCCTGCCGAGTCGGTCTCCAAGGTGCGCCATATTCCGCCTCTCGCAATTGAGGAGTTGCTGGACGGCCGTGATGTTGACTTTACTCCCCTACAGGTCTCGTACTCTACGCGTTGCAGACAGCCTCAAGCATGGCGGGAAATGCTCTGTCCAGGCCAGATCTTCGCACGCTCATTTCGAACTGGTGGATTGTTGAAATCGGTGAGCCCTGCCAATCTTTGCACCTGTGGATAAAGCGCTGATGATTCTTCTCACGGTCGTTGCAGATTACGGTTGGGAAGACTTGTCCAAGGCGCTTCCCCTCACGACAGACGATAGATCAGTCGCCTTCTACCGCTTGATCGGTCCCGCCTTGAGCAAGAAGGTGTACGATGCTCTTGTCGTCATCGCTTGCCAGCAGTGTGGTCCCGCCGTTGCGGCATTTCAGGCCGCCGAACGCCTTTCGAGTGCGGAAGGCCCGCAGGTCAAATCCTTCGTGCACAACGGTGTCGAGCTTTGCGCTCCGAGGCGAGAGAGTGTGCAAGCGGTCCTCCAGCAGGTTGCGGACGAGGACGTGGTCAAGGCAGTCCTCGAGCTGTTGCCGAAGTGTGAGCCTCCTTCCTCTCGCCTTTCCCTTCCCCTGCTGAACTTGTCTTGATGTCGCTCCTACAGCGTCTTTTTGCGGCGAGTCCTTTACGATGGAGGAGGCGGCTGCGGAGCTGCGCGAGAGGCTGGAGGCGTCGGGGAACTAGGTGTGTAGGTCTCCGCTTCACTGCCCGAGCATCTCGACCAGGGGCGTGGGCACTCACATACCCATCTTGCAGCGCTCTGGTTGCTTCAGCCCAACGCCAGCCGACGTCAGCGACCTCACCATGTTGCCGACGTTGACATAGACTCGAACAATCCCCTCACGCTTCCCTTTCGCCTCCTTCCTTTGTTGCTGTACTCTTCCCTGCCGTGTTCTTGAAGCCGTTGCCTGTCTTCTTGGCAGTCGGAAAGCAATGCGAGGCTTCAGTTCGCCAGCTCTTTCGAGCTTAGGAAGGCCTTCCCTTTTTTCTCGCTGCGTATTGTCGCACGGCTTTCGCTTGGCCGGCTGAACGCCTCCCTCGTGCGTTTTGGCGTTGCTGTGAGGATCTCTCGTCCCTGAACGTCGCCGAAGAAGGACGAACACCTCCTCGTCGTCCTCGTGCTCCTGCCCCTCTCTCCCTCCTCCGTTTCTTCCGCTCTTCCTCCTTCGTCTCTTCCCCACTCACTACCACAAGTATCGCTGCTACTGTCACCTCAGCTCCTTCGCTGTCGCTGCACTCGCACACCCACTCACCCGGCTCAACTCCCCTTCACCTCCTTTCCTCCCCACGCTTCACTCGCTGCTCGCTCGCTCGATCCGCCTGCTTCTCTCTCTTCCTCTCCTTCCTCTCACTCTCTCGCGCCTGGGTCGACGCAAGAACTGCAGCGTAGTACGTCCACCCTCTCGCACGCTCGCCTTCTCACGCCCGTCTCGAGAAAGGCCAGCGATGATGCCTCAAGCCACACTTTTTCGAGTGCTCGCTCTTTTGTGATGTCTGCTGTGAGCGGAGAGATTCACACGCTGAGCTGGATTGACAGGAGGACGAGCGCAGGGAGGGGAGGTGCGTGGAGCGAGGACGAGGAAGGGGAGAAGCTGACCTGCTTTCCGCCCTTTCTTGCAGGCCCTCTCGACGTCTTCGCAACCTCTCAGCAACCCGTCAACCGTCTAGGTGCGTCTCCCACTTCATCCCTCGCCACCTTGCGCGACGACGAACTCTGCGAAAGATAAAGGTAGTCGGACCATCTGCCTGCGTCTCTCATGACCAGCCAGGGTGTATGACGACGACACAAAGGATACACTTGATCGCTGAGCGCTTCGGGAGCAGCTTTGGAGACGTTGGGAGGGATGAGCGCGCGCTGACCTTCTTCCTCCTCGTTCGCAGACCATCGCGCTCGACTCGCTCTGCTCCACGGTGCGTCGCTCTGCTCTCCATGCGCCTTGGGATACGTCGATCAGGAGCACAAGGGCAAGGATGAACCTCGATAGTCCCGCCGAGTCCTGCGTTTGTCGGACCAGGGTGAGGAGAAGGAAAAAAAAACAGGTTAAGGTCGCTGAGCCCGCTACGCAAGACACTCGTCAACCTCACGCCGGGGAGGTGCAACGACTGACACGCCTTCGCTGCGTACGCAACAGCTCGACTCGCGCTCCGTCTCGACGACTCGTCCCGTCCTCCTTCGCAACTCCCCTAGGTACGCTCGCCCTCCTCTCTCTCCCTTCCGGCGAGCACAAGGATGAGCACGCCACCCCAAAACGAATAAGCAAAGAAGCGGACTGGGAGGCGCTTTCGAGCGTTGAGCAGATGCCGACACCTCTCTACACCTTCTGTCTGAATTCTTCGCCGCCTTCCTCCAGCTATGAGCGCAAATTGAGCGTGGCTGACAACGCTCGTACAGTGCATACGCAGATATAGCATCCGTAGGCAAGGAGATGCAATTGCGAAGCACTTCGACGCCGCAAGGGCTTCGTCGCAACCTTTGCGAGGAAGCGCCAGCAACCGACACTGCAAGCGGAACAGCTGTTCCCTTCGGTGGCCCCGCTTCATTGTGCGCGCATTGACGAGCCTATCTCGAGATCGACGCAAGCGCAGCTCGCGAGCAAACAAGGTACGGCGACGGGCGACAAAGGCGGCGGGCGGCTCGCGAGCGGAGAGAGGGCTTTTGCGCGCGAGTGTGCGACTGCGTGTTCTTTGCCGAGATGGCATTAGCTTTCTGGAGGGTGTGCGCGAGCGGGTGAAAGGGCTCCAGGCTGGGTTGCGGGCGGCGGTGGGCGGGCTGCAGTCGCTCGTTCAGCGCGGGAGTTGGATGGGTGGCCGTGTTCGAGTCGTGCGGTGCCAGTGAGCTCTGAGTCGAACCAGCTGAGCGAGTGCGAGGGTGAGAACGAAGAGAGAGCGCCGTCGCTCGTCCCTTGTCCCTCGCTGTCCCTGCCCCGCGCCAGAACTCCTGTTTTGACATCACCAGCAGAGTTGTCAACGCACCTCGACACTCGCTGGGATCCCTGAACACAGCTGCTTAGCCTCCCACTCGCTTGCGCCGTCGTCGTCCGCCCACTCACCCGTTCGAGTCCCGACCCGCCTCGCCTCGTCGACGGGGACACGAGGGGCGATGCAGGCCGTCGCAGAGCACTCGCAGGGACACCTCCTGCACGCCCAGCCTCACCCGTCGCAGCGCATGCCCTCGCCCGCACACGCTCACCCACCGCCTGCGCTGCCCGTCACCCCCTCATCACAACAACAACCCGCTCCCGCGCAGACAACCGAGGGCGATGCCGCAGACGGGCAGAGGGAGAGCCAGGCGGGACCGGCGGCGAAGAAGCAGCCCACAAAGCTCTTCAGGTGCAACGGGTTCGGCGATTGCCAGATGACCTTTTCCCGCTCCGAACACCTCGCACGGCATGTTCGGTGAGTTCGGGACGACTTTCCGGGCTGCGGTCCCTCTCCAGAGCTGACAGGGCATCGTTACGCTCGCAGAAAACACACGGGCGAACGGCCGTTCCAGTGCCATTGCGGCCGCTCCTTCTCCCGCCTCGACAACGTCCGCCAACATGCCTCGACCGTCCACGCCGACCAGCAGGAGAAGAACCAAGAGACGATCGCACACCTCGTCTCGCTGCACAACCAGCTCTCGGCCTCGACCGTCGCCAAGCAGAAAGAGGCCGGCATGATTGTCCACGACCAGAACGTCGAGTCGCGGCCGAAGAGGAAGCCTGCTGAGACGACGGCTGGAGGCGAGACGAAGCCGAAAAAGAGCGCAGGAGGGAAGAAGAAGGGCTCAGCCGCGCAGAAGGCCAAGGAGCAGGCGGACGCGGTGGCCGAACTGGGCCAGCAGATCGCGGGCGACTTGGACCGCGTCGCGAATCAGGCGCCGCCGCCGCTTCCGAACCCTCCGCCGCAGTCTGTCTCGCCCTTCGGAGCGCCCGTCGACTCTGCGCCGCGAGACTCGCCGCGCGACGCTCCCCAGCCTATTCCGCCGCCCGGTCCCGCCAACTATCCCTACGCTGCTCCGCCTCAGTACCCTCCCTCGCAGTACCCGTCGTCGAACTACAACCCCTCGAACTCATACTACGGCGCGCCGGTCCACCACCAGCAGATCTACGGCGCGATGGGTCCTCCGCCGGGAAATGGAGGGATGCAAGCAGGCGGCGGATACGCAGGGATGGACTTTTACGGCGCAGGATACCCTCCTCAAGCCGGTCCTTCGTCTGTCTCGTCGGCCACACAAGGTCCGCCTTACTATTCCGTCTCGCCGCTCCCTCCGCCTCCGCCTCCGCAACACGACCGCGCACGCTACCCCTCCAACGTCCCCACCTCGCTTCCCTACCCTCCTGTACCTCCTCAACCCGCTCAAGCGCAAGCGCAAGCAGACGCCGGCGCCTTGACGCCCAACAAGATCTCCCTCCCGAGCATCTCGGCTCTCCTACCCGCTCCTTCGCCCGTCCAGCAAGGCCAGCGCGTCGAACCCGATCCAAACACCCAGCAACAACAACAACAGCAACAGTCGTACTTTGTCGCGAGCGCGCCAGGCTCGAGACCGCCTTCGACGCTGGGGATGCCGCCGCCTCCTCAGCCGCCGACACATCACCAGCAGCACCAGCATCACCAGCAGCAGCAGCACTATGCGTATCATCAGCAACATCAGCAGCAGGGAGAGATGCAGCATTACCAGCAGCAGATGATGCAAGTTTATCCGGTCGACCCGTATGCGAGGCCGGGGAGTACGACGGGAAGCGAGAGGGACGGGCCTCCTTCGTGCGTTTGACGCCTTCCCTCTCTCCACGCAGACGCAGACTGACGAGTTTGACGTAACACGCAGCTTGTCGAACGGCTCAACCTCGACCGCCTCAAGTTTCGCCAACGGCTCACCTCACCACCCTCACCTCCCCATCCCGCCTTCAGCAGCCTCTCACTACTCTCACCTCTACGCCCCCGCGCCCTTCAGCTTACCTACGAACCCCACCGCCGGCCCTCCAGCATACCACTACGCCCCTCCTCCGCCCTCTTCAGCTTCTTACTACGCTCCCCCGCCGCCGCAGGGGTATCAAATCCCCCCACAGCCTCCGTCGGCGTCGGGCGTTTATCCGAAGTTTACGCTTCCGGCGCAGCCGGCGCAGGGGTTGTATGCGGCTGGAGCGGGAGGAGGCTGGGCGGGTGCGGCTGGGCAGGGAGCGGCGGGTGGAGGAGCAGGAGGAGCGGCGCAGGCGCGATAGTACGGCGGAGAGCGGTGCTTGCCCGTCTTTTCGCCTCTTGCCTGCCGACACCCTCAATTCCGTTCTTCTCCTTCTTCGCTCGTCTCCACTCTCACTGCATCGCCTCTCGCAACTCGCCTCTTTCTCGTTCGTGATCACTCGTCCTCTTCTCAGTACCCAGTTCGCGCTAGTCTTACCTTGTCGTCCATCCCTATATACCCCTACTCTCCCTCGCCCCCTCTTCTCCTTTTTTGCTCCTCCCGAGCGTTGCGTAGTTCGTAGTTCTGCTGGGTTGTTGTCCGCTGATTTGATGCACTGGGTCTTGTCCATCCATCTCCAGCCTTGCGCGTCCGCTTGAAGCGAGATGAGTCGCACGTCTTGCCGAGGGACTGGCAGCGAGCGTCAAAAGCGATTCAAGCAAGGTTGTCGCACGCACAGGAGATCAGCAAGGTCCCAGCCATGCATTATTGTAAACCGGGAAAGGGTTCGGCGAGCGAGGAAAGCGGTTCCTTGTGCCGGCCTTGGTCGAGAAGCACGCGGGGTGAGGTCAGCGTTGGTGAGGCGGGACCTGCTCTGCGCGGGTCGGGAGTTCCGCGAGCCTGGAGGAGGAGGAGGAGGAGCTGGACAGATGATTGCAGGTGAGAGGCGAGGCAAGGGAGAGGGCGAAAGAAGCGTAGCGAGCTAGGGTAAGCAACGCACTGCCTTGGTGGCCAAGGAGAAGGCTGCGCTCACTACTGCTGACAGTGCTCAACTGCAGCACGGGGCAGAGGAAACAGAGTAGGAGGATTGCGAGAAATGCGGGAGGGCCATTCGAGCGGGAGGAGTCGATTGCCTGGGCGCGGGCGGAGAGCTGGACGGTGCTCGTCGCACCGTATGCTCAGAGCCCTGACGAATCCAGGGGGGCGCTAGCATGAAACGCAGGCGCCGTCGAGCGATATTGTCGGGAGAGGCGTACGAACCAGAATCGCGAGCCGTCAGCCGGGACCAGCGAGGCGCTGAGCAGGGCTAAGTACCATCGCGCAGTGTAAAACATCTAGTCCAATTCATCAGCGAGCCCTGCGAAGGCAGTCGAGGGTGGTGGAGGAGGGCAAGGAGCGAAGTTGAGTGAAAGCGGGTCCACTCGAACGCAACCGCAGCTATCGGCTGGCTGAGTGGTGACAACCGCAGCGGCTATGCCCAAATACTCCCGCACCGACCGACCGCCGCCGCCTGCGTCCTTGTCGCTCCTCGTTCGCTCGCTCCGCACTCGCCGACGAAGTTGGATCCTCCTCCTCGCCGGGCTCCTCGCGCTGGTCGTGTACGGCAGGATTGGCACAAGGAATACTACGCTCAGCGCACACGGGGCAAGCGAGCTCGAACGGCGGGGCGTACGGTTTGATCGCGAGAGGGACGAGGACGAGGTGGGGGTCGACTTTCCGCCGCTGCCAGAGCTGCACGACAGGGACAGACTGTGGCCACCCGATCTCAGTGCGTAATAGTCCTGCTTCCGCTTGCGAGCGACCCAGTTTTTCGAGGTTGTCGCCGTTCTCCTTGCTGACCTTCTTCTCCTCGACTTTTCCCGCAGGCAAGCCCATCTGCAAGCCCAAGATCTACGTGCGTGTTTTGCAGCGACTCAAGAAGAGCGGCTCCCTGACGCTGCGCCGCCCGCAGGTGTACAACCTCCCTCCTTCGCTCCAACTCGCCCAGAAGACCGCCTCGCAATGCCGCTGGTCGGCGTACAACTCGGAGCTCCTCCTACACCAGCTACTCGCCAAGCCTCCGTCGTCCGAGCACCCTTCGCCAGACCACCCCCACCTCTCGCTCTACACGTCGAACCCGGACGAGGCCGACTTCTTCTTCGTTCCGCTCTTCCCGGCCTGCTACCTCTTCGACTGCTGGGTCAAGCCGGCTGGACCAAGACGGAGCGGTGCAATGTCGACGAAGGCTACATCCAGCCCGTCATGCGGCACGTCCGCGAGACGATGCCGTACTGGAACCGCTCTGCCGGCGCAGACCACCTCATTCCGCACCCGATGCACTACGTCGATGGCTACTACACCGAGACGTCGCGAGCGGCGATGAACGGTTCGTCGTACCTCGTCACCGTCGGCGACGTCCGTCCCGCGCCGTACGGCTCGCACTTCCGCTTCTACCGCGATATCGTCCTTCCCTCCTCGACGCACCTCCTCAACTCGTACTACGTCAATCCGCTCGACTACGTCGACGAAGATGGACACCCTCTCCGCGAGCCGCGAGGCGCTGCGGATCCTCGCCGAAAGACGCAGGCCGTCCCGACCGGCGTCGAGATTTTCCAGCCTTCGCCGCATGAAGCCGGAGCGTGGCGACGCAGGCCGTCCTTCCGAAGCCTTGCGTCGAAGCTCGTTGGCGGCAGGGGCATTGACCGAGACAGGCGAACCACGCTCGCCATCTTTCGCGGCGGAGTCGGCACAGCCACCGACGGCGAGCGCTACGCTCTAGGCATCCGTTCCCTCTTCTTTCCCTCAGACGGCAACGCTTCGACGCCGCCCTTCTCGTCCGCCATCCATCCCGGCTTCTCGTCTCTCCCCGGCTTCGACATCGCCGAGCAGTCTGAGAACGACGACTACGCCTGCCGCCTCGCTCGCTCCAAGTTTGGCCTCGCTCCTCCCGGCTACACGCTCGACACGACGCGCATCTACGAGTACCTCGCATTCGGCGTCGTCCCCGTCTTCATCGGCAGTGGACCTACGGCGGGCCAGGTCATGCCGTTCGCCAACGACGTCGACTGGAGCAGCTTCTCGATCTCGATACCCCGCGACAGGGCACACGAGACGCCTCATATCCTCGCGCAGGTCAGCGACGACGAGTACGAGCGGCTCAGGCGGAAGGTGTGGGAGGTCGGGCGGATGGTAGTCCTCGAAGGTCGTGAAGGGAACGTTTGGAAGCTCATCGCACGCCAGCTGTGCAGGATGAAGCGGTTGGGCATTGCGGCAGGTCCGGAGATTGTCAACAACTGATCCTGGCGCTTTGCCTGGCGATTTCGCCCTGCCCATCCCTTCGGTACCGATGACGGCCGCGAAGTGGTGGTCTTCCGCAGAGAAGCCAGACATGGCAGCAGGCGGTCGCTGGTCAGGTTGAGGCGACCGAGCTTCGCAGCAGGTCGGAAGTCGGGTTTGGCGAGGCGGACCACTCCTTCGCCCTCCTCCTGACCTCGTCGCTCAATTCGGTCGTCGCAACGTTGCGATGGCCGCAGTTCTCGCTGACTAGATCCCGTAGCGCAGAGGCTGCGCGCCGGAACGTCCGCGGACCTCGAAACCCTCCCGTTCAACCAACGTTCAACCCTCGGTCTCCCTCTCTACATCTTCGCCCTTCGACGACTCCCCGACCCTCCCGCAGTCATGGCTTCTCATGCAGCCACGCACCACGCCGCTATGCGTATCGACCACACCTCGATCCTGACCGCAGTCCTTGGAGCGCACCGCCGCTTCGGCCAAATCGACCATGCATTCGTGGGTACGCTCACTTTCCGTACAGTTGCTTCATGCACAACCTGACGCTACTTCACACGTAGGTGCCGCCGGTAGTATCGTTCGCCTGACGAGCGTCATGCAAGAGACCGACCAGCTCCGTCACTTCGTCGAGCGAGACGAGTTCCTCGAAAGGACGTGGCTTGCGGCGAACCAGGTTAGCTCTCTGTCCCTCTTAAGAGACTCTGGTTGAAAGCATTGCCGCGCAGCATCTGCACGTCGCCGTGCGGCCTCACCAGTTCCAAGACGCCTGTCAAGCTGTCGGCGCTGCCCTTCACCCTCCTGGCGCTACCCCGCAAGTCGGCGTACGTTCATCGCTGTTGACTAAAGATTGAAGCGCGCTTATGGGTCACCGACTCCGCAGCTCTTCACTGTCCAGGCGACGCTGGCCGACGGCACCCTTCACACAGTCCAGTTCGTCCTCGCCAAAGTCGAGACTGGCTCGAGCGGCGAGTGGCATCGCAACATGTGCAGCATTCGTATCGGCGGCTCCCCTTGGATGTTGCCGACGGATCTCGCCGTCTTCGCCGCCTTCATGCGACTCACGCCTCTCTTCCAATGCTCGCCCGCCCGCATTAGCCGGGGCTTCACGAGGCGCGACCCTCCGCCGGTCCCTGGCGAGCTTATCTGGTTCCACGCCGAGTGGCAGATCCAATACGGCCTTGAGGAGATCGGCCTGCCGCACAGGGGCTTCCTGTCCGCCGCGGCATGGGAGCGCGACATCTCGCACCTCATGTCGGCGCAAGACTACGCTATGAGGGCAAGGCACTTGCATGCACTGCTCGTCGCATCGGAGGAACCGCCGGAAGCGAATGAGGAGCCGGTGAACCTCCTCGTCGAGCACGCCGCCAGGATGGACATGATGGAGATGGGCCACAACCCGGACTCGCACGACGAGCGTGACCGAGACCTCCTCGCCGACTTGATGCTGGGTTTGGAGCATGTCATCGAGGCTTTCACGAGGCGATTCACCGTCAGTTTCACGCTTTCCGTTCCTTCTGGCTGGCACTGACTTCCGCTTTCGCGCGCAGCTACCATACCCGTCCCCTCACCACGCCGTCGCTCGCAGTTAGCCAATCGGGTCGTGTATTGCTCCGACAAGTTGTCGGGCGCCGACAAGCGTCGTCTGTTTCTTCCGTCCCTCCCGGTTCGCCTCCTCTCTCCACCTCGCCGAACCCGCCATCTGCCATATCCAGACTCAACTCTTCTTTATGTTGCGCAACGGGAGCATAGCTTGCCGTCGTCGAGAGCGACGTCGCCTCCTTCGGACGGTCCGCGGACTTTCGGCGGCCTCCTCCTCCTCGTCCCTCGTCGCTTCCCTCCCTCCCTCCCTTCACCGTTGCTGCTCCTCGCCGCTGCTATGTCAGAGTCTCTCGCAGAGAAGGCCGAACAGTGCATTCACGCGCTCGTCTGGCTTCATCAGAAGCTGAAGACGGATGGAGTTGAGCACGCTTTCACCGGTCCGTTGGTCCGCTTTCTCGCGTAGGCCTTCGCGAGCTGACAGTCACAGTCTCGTAGGACTGGCGGGGACGATCGTGCGCCTGTACGCCGCGCAGAATTACCTTGGTCGCGAGCGTCTCGCTTCTGCCCCCAGCATCCGCGAGTTCATGACCCGCCGTCGCTACTCACAGGACCTGGTAAGTTCTTTGACGACCTTATATGACAGTAAACTGACGCTGTCTGACCCGCAGATCCTGCACCTTGAGATCGCAGAAGCGGACATTCAACAAGTCGCGGAGGACCTTCACGCCCGGGCAGATCCTCACGAGTATGGATGGGTTCGTCTGCGCTTTCCCGTCATCGGAAGCACCCACTGAATGTTTCTCTGCACGACTTCACTCAGCGCGCCGCCGTCACGATCGCCGACACCACCTGCCGCTTCTTCCTCAAGTCCTTTGTCCCTCACTCGCCACACGACCACTCAGCCTGGCCACGCGACTACTGCCACATCGTCCAAGGCGCGCACTCGATCGACATCCCCACCGAACTAGCCGTCGTAGCGCAGTGCAATCGCCTCACCCGCCTTACGCAAGTATCGGACCAGCGCCTCCAACAGGGCTTCGACCGCGCTCATCCGCCGCCTGCCCCGGTTGATACGGTTGCCTTCCGTGCAGAGTGGCTCGCGCAGGAGCACTTCGACCGGATTGGGCACAGCGGGGATTACTATCTCAGTCACCATGCCTGGGATCACGACATCCCCATCTTGATGACGCACGAAACCTACGTCGAGGCCAGCAACCAACTTCTCGCCGTTGTCTCGAGGTCGATCGTCCACGTTGCCGGAAGAGAAGTCAACCTTCTTGTCGACTCGACGGCGGAGAGAGAACATGCCGAGGGCAGGTACCCCGGCACATCGCGCGAAAAAGTCCAGGCAGATATGACGATGCTGAGGAACTCGTGGACGATCGTGCTGGTGTTGGTGGCCGAGTACTTCAAGGTGCGTTTCCTTTCGCCTCCTGCTCAACGGTGAAGGAACCCTGACGACTTCGACGCCATGCAGCGCCCGTACATCCCCGCCGATTCGAGCGTGTTCGAGGTCGGATCACGGCGTTGATGCACGGAGGCCACTGAGGGCGTGTAGATAAGCGGTAGGATGTAAATGCAAGTTTGCGAAGGTCCACCTCGTTTCGACGCGGGAGAACAGCATGATTGGCGCTTGCCTCTTCGAAGGGACTCATTACTTCGTGCAGTCCCTAAAGCGGTGCGGAGGACGATGCGGATGCGGGCGACTGTCGGGACGAGTGAATGAAGGGATGCGGGATAGGCACTCAGGCTGAAGTAGACACGGTCGCAGCTGCTACCTCGCGCTCATCCAGACGACCGTCAACGAATGTGAGAGAAAAAAAGACGATGCAAATGCGGCCCAGCTAGTCAAACCGCTCACAAATCCTTCCACTCCCTCGCCTCCCTAACCCCCTCCTCAACCTCCGCCCCGCCTCTCATCCACCCCGGCATCTCCCTCTCAAAACTAACCGTCTTCTCCTCCCCCATCCCGGCGACCTGTTCGAGTTTCGAGCCGAGACGCAGCGCGGTCCAGCGTAGGACCGAGGGGTTCAACCGCAGACGGGCGTTGAGCGCGTTCACGAGAGGGGGGGAGGCGTCGAAGCGGAGGGTCCAGTAGCTGCGGAGGGAGGGTGAGAGAAGTGTCAGCGTGTTGATTCGAACGGCGAGCGGGAGTTGATGCTCGAGAGAGGCCCGTTCCTGCCGTCCTCGTCCTCCTCCCATCCATCGTGCAAGGGCCGCTCAGCTTTGTTTCTCCACCCGTCAACGCCTTCAACCCGTCCAGAAGACACACGAATGCCCGTGCCCATCGCAGTCGACGCTCCAGAGAGCGACGAGGACAGCTCGAGAGTCGGGGGTCCGCAGTCAAGCCTTCCTCCTCTTCCTTCGGCTCCGGTCCGCCTCTCTTCCTCAGTCTCGATCTTCCCAGCGCTCCTCTCCAGCTTCTCACACTCCAACTACCACGCTCAATCGCATCCCTGCCTCCGTCCCTTCCCGCCCACCTCCCTCTCCCCCATCCCTCCTCAGCCAAACTCGGGACTCACTCTCCCACAAACTCCCCTTCTCCCTCCCCTCCACCGCCCCTCCTCCTCCCAACCTTCATCCTCTGCGGCAAGTTGCGCGTGCCCCAGAAATCGAGGTTGCGGACTACGCCGCCGTTTTGGGTGATTAGTTGGGTTGTGGTGCGCATTAGGGAGTGGATCGGGGTCTGCGTGGGGAGGACGAGCGTAGCGAGTCATGCGAGACGAGTGCACGTGCGGAGCAGGCACGGAGGGATGAGAGAGGCGGCGATGAGAGGGAAGAGCGATGGAGAGGGAAGTTAGCTCGTCCCGTCCCTCACACGGCTCCCGGGCCTGGAGAAGGTGGGAACAAAGTCACGCACGAGGGTCAAGTGGTGCTTGGTGATGCACACGAGTTCGTAGAGCGGCATCTTGTGTGGGTCGAGTTCGAGGGGGAGGAGATGAGAGAGGGAGGAGGCTGGGCGCGCGCTGGCGGGTGAGGGTGCGTTCGATAGTAGGAGAGGGAGAGTGCCTGCGAGTGCGGAAGTGCTGCTGGCTTGTAAGCTGTGTGCTGTGTGCTTGCGAGTGTACGAGAGCAGGGTACACTCAAGTTGTAATGGCAGCTGAATACAATTGCGAGTTGTAATGAGCTGAATACAGCAGTGTGCCTGAGCAGGGGAAAAGCCTTCTGCTGCTCGGCCAAGCACGCCCTCGCCTTCGGACAACTCGCCAACCTCGACTCCTCACACAGCGACGACAGCGTGGGTGGCATGGACCCGCAGTACACACTCGACGACGCTCTACAACACGCCGCACGCTCCCTCGCTCAAGGCACAGGTGCAGGAGCAGCGGGAGGAGCGGGCCAGTCAGCAGCTCAACCGACGGCGGCGGCGACGACGCAGGGGCAAGGACAGGGCGGGAGTGCACCTGTGAGGCCGTTGAGGGCCATGCTTGCTCGAGGCGCAGCGTGAGTCCGCTCTCTCGCTCTGCTGCTGGCCATCTCGTTCGCTTCGCCGGCACCAAGGCCAACGAGTGGGGTGTCCGAACTTTGCCCCCTCCCTCTCCACGCTTCTCTCGAGTTGCAACGGGTGCTGACACTCTCTGTGGAACAGATGCGACACCTGCCGTGCACGCAAGGCGAGTCCCTCTCCTCCCTCTCTCTCGAGACGGGCCAGTTGGATGGGTTCTCCGAAGCGAGACGACCGGGCTGCCCGGTTCGCCGAGATCGTCCTTCTCTCTGTGCTGCTGCTCTTTCTCTGCTCTCGTTGCGCGCGACTCGGCCGACGAGAGCTTGGCACGAGTCTGAAGGACTTGAGCGCTTGACCATGACGGCGACGAGGAGGAGGAGGGAACAAAGGGCGGACGAGTGGAAGGAGCGCTCTTCCGTTACCCCGCGCTCGTGATCGCCTCCCAGCTGGCGAGCGGTTCCAGCACTCTGGATTCCGTCTCTTCGCGCCGGCCTCTGCCTTTCCTCCGGCGACGGTCTTTTGTCTCGCGAGGTTGGGTGACGCGCGGTATTGTGGTGGTGCGGTCGAGTGTGCGTGTGGACGAGTTTGTTGCGGGTGAAGAAACGGAGATGCGGCGGATCAGGCGGACTACCGCGGCGACGACCTTCTCGACGGGGACCTTCTTTCTCTCGCTCTCGCCTCTCATCCGCGCACACCGTCCGAGAAACAGTCCACTAACCCTCTCCCCCTTCGTTGCTCACGACAACCAGGTCAAATGCGACGCCTCCCGCCCCTTCTGCACCCCCTGCCTCAAATCCTCCCGCGGCGATTCAGCACTCGCACTGACGAGGTGTAAATACGAGGGGACTAGTGTCGCGGCTGCGAGGGAGGCGGCTGCTGCTGCGAGGGAAGCGGGGGGTGGGGTTGGAGGAGGAGGGAGGAAGAAGAGGAAAGTTGAGGGCGAGGAGGGGGAGGGAGGGAGGAAGGGGAAGAAGGTAGGGGTCGAGGCGATGGGGTGGAACGGGCAGGGTGGGGTCGTGGATGCGGGGACGTTTGCGGCTTTCGATCCGAGGATGAGCGGGCATGGACATGCTGGGACATACTCGACGCAACTCCCTCCTCCGCCGGGGTATCCGACTGCCCTCCCTCCGCATCCTCCTCCCGGCTCGACAGCGCCAAACACCCTCGCCGAACCGTTCCGCCCGCTCCCTCCCCCCCTCGCTCCATCATCCACATCCGCTCCGACTCTCCCACCCGCTCTCGCATACGACTCGAAACCCTCTTCCGCGGGAACGGGAACGGGAGCAGAGTCGGTCAAGAAGGAGGTTGTGGAGGGCTTGGAGGGGAGGATTGCCGAGCTCGAGAGGCAGTTGCGTGCGAGGGAGGCGGCCGCGAACGGTAGCGGCGGCGGGGCGTATTATGCACCCGCGGCGAACGGCGCGCCGCATACGAGGTCACCCTCGTTCCCTTATGCTTTCCCCGCACAGCCATCCGCCGCGTACACGTATCCCGGCGCGACCTACCCTTCGTCGCTTCCTCCTCCGCTCTCCTCCGCCTCTTCCGCCGCGCCAGGCATCCCTTTCCCCTCCCCATCCTCGGCCTACCCCACCCAACCACTCACTCCCGGCGCACACACGCACGCCTACCCACCCATCCAACTCGCCCCTCCCGGCGGTGGCTCCTCCCCTCGAACCGGTCGCTCCCTCTCGGCGCTCTCTGCCGCCGCCGCAGCAGGGATCGAAGATTTCCCGGGGTGGAGCGCGCAGGAGAGTAACCTTCGCTCTTCCGTGCCCCCGCCACAGCAGGGGTGGACGGCGGCTGCCCAGAGTCCGATGTCGAGTTTGAGGTATTCGGCGTTGCCGGCCGCGGATGGAGGGGAGGGGTTCGTGTTGAGTCCAAGGGGGAGTTTGGCGAGGGAGAGGGAGAGGGGGACACCGGTTTTCGCTGTGGTCGGCGCGGCGGGAGGTGCGGCGAGTAAGGCCGCGACGAGTGCTGGGGCTGGAGGAGGAGGGTCGACGAGGCCGGGGTCGAGTTCGAGCGCGACGAGTCCCCATTCGTCCGCTACGACTTCGTCCTCTTCTCCTCCCAAAGCCGATCCGACGACGTTCTCGGCCCTAGACGACTTTTCCCTCTCGCCCGAACTCTACGCCCTCCTCCACCCCTCGTACCCTCCCTCTCTCCCACCCATCGCGACAGTCCACCACCTCGTCCAAACCTTCTTCCTCCGCGCCAAGATCCCCGCCCAGATGCTCAACCACCGCAACATCCTCGAATCGATGCTCTACGGACCTGCGGACCCCCGATGGCCCGACGAGGCACTCTTGCACGCGATGTGTGCGTTCGCGGCGCAGTACGTCTCGGAGGAATCGCTGGGGTCGCTCGGACCGTACGCGACGAGCTTGGGACTGGAGATGGATCGTGAGGAGGAGGAGAAGCGCAGGAAGAGTAGGTATTGGGAGAGGGATGGGACGAAGACGGCCAGGGCTTATCATTATATGCATGCCAAGAGGAGCGTACATGAGGCGGTCGACTCGGACTTGAAGGGTGCGGGCAAGCCGAGGGATATGCTTCAGGTGCGTCTGCGTCGGGTTCCGAGGAGGAGATGGACCGTACTGATGAGTGAGCGAGCGCGCAGGTCCTCCAAGCGTGCATCATCACCTGCTACGTCGCCTACCAATCCGCCTCGTTCACCGACCTCTGGCTCTTCGGCGGCCTCGCCACACGCCTCTGCACGCCCCTCGGCCTGAACCACCTCGAGCCGTGGGACTTTTTCCACAACCGCTGCGGTCCCTCGGGCGAGGATTGGTCTCGCCGAATCAGGTTTGCGCCCAGAGCCGAGTTGCTCGGCTTGCCCCAGACGCTCGAGGAACATGCGGAGAGGGCGACGACGTTTTGGATGGCGTTTGCGGTCGATCGGTTCGCGAGTGCGAGTACGGATTGGAGCACGTCGATCGACGAGAGTGCGTTCGGGAGTCTTTCCCTACGGACGAGGAGGTCGAGCTGACGGGTCTTGGTTCCCGCAGAGGACATCACGACTCCCCTTCCTTGCCGCCCGCTCGTCCCGCACCCATCCCTCCTGTTCGACAAGAAGACGCTCGAGATTCCCGCCCTGTCCATCTCGTCCTCCAACTTCTTCGAAGACGCCACAGCGCCCATCGGCTCGCTCGGACTCTACATCAAAGCGACCGTCCTCCTCGGCCGCGTCGTCAACTTTCTCCAGCGCAACGTCCCGCGCTCAAAGTGCGTAGAACAGGGCGAGTCGTGCTCCGGCGTCAAGGCCGAGTTCAAGAGCCGCGAGGAGTTTGTCGAGCTTGATGTCGCGTTGAGCAAATTCAAGGCGAACCATTCGGCGAACTTTTACGATGCGGCAGACAACGCCATCGACGGGTTCTTGGCGAGCGCCTACGCCATCCCTCACGTGTGAGTTGCGATCGTTTCCCCGCTTTGACAGGCCCTTGCTAACGAGTTTCGCATCGCAGTGCCACGATGCTCCTTCACGAGACCTTCACCGACCGCTACGACATGTCGCCCACCTCGTCCATCAACCGCTGCCTCAGCTCGGCTAAATGCGTTGTCAACGCGATGCACATTCTCTACCAGTCGAACTACGACCTCGGTGGATGCGACCCGTGAGTTCGCCTTCCCCTTCGCAGGCCTTCTCCGTACCTCGCCTTCCCGGCTTGACGCATCACCCTTCGCAGCTTCCTTCCCTTCTGCTGGTCCGTCACCGCCCGCGCCCTCGTCCGCGACTACACGACCCGCCGCTTTTGGGGCCAACACGAGGCGGCGCAGGCGAGCCTCGAGCTTGCGGAGCAATGCTTGTCGTTCCACGATGCGTGCGCGAAGATGGGCAGCCCGATTGCGCGTGAGTCTTCCCCTTCAGCTGCGTTTGCGAGACTTGCGGCTTGCAAGGTTCTCAACGCTAGTCGTCTATGTTCGGGAGACTGACCTTCGAAAGCTCGCCGCAGAATGCCTCGCCACGACGCTCCGCAAGCATCTCGACAACCCCGACATCCTCCTTCCCGTCGACGGCGCAGTGCGTTCACTCTCCTCTCCTTCGCTCTCACCCGGTTGCTGACACGTGCCGGGCTCGCAGGAGCTCTAAAGCCGCCGCAAGCCTCTCTCGACTCTTTCTCGCGTTTATCTGTCTTCCGCTTCTCGGTTTTGGGTCCGGCTTCTTCCTCTTTTCTCTCGCTTCTGTTCGCAACATAGGTCTCGCACTGCATCGCGCCCGTCAATTGTCCCATCTGCGCGTATACGCCGCTTCGCAGAGAGGGAGGAAGAGCGTGGAGGGATTTGGCCGTGTCCCTTGTCGCCGCCGATTCGCCCGTTCGAGCATTCCGTCTGCCTGCTATGCAGGGCGCACCAGGCGTAGTTTCAAGCCGTCCCAGCAGTGTCGTCGCCAGCTACCGCTCCTTGCTTGATGAAAGCGATGAGGCGGCACAGAACAGCGGGGAGTAGACGGGCGGGTCGCTGGCGGAAGTCGACAAGTTAAAAGGGCTATAAGCGTCTGTCAGGCGGGCCGGCAATTCGTCTCGCGAGCCCTTGCGTGCACTTCAAGACCAATTTCCGTCTCGAGACGGTGGTCTCCCTCCGACCGCTCACCTACCCGCTTGGATCGCCGCTTGCTCGAGCTGTACAGAGCTAGCACAGGATTTCCAGCACGATGCAGTCCCAACAGGCGCCGCCCATGCACCCGGACGAGTACCCCGACATCCATCTCCCGTCGCATCTTCGAATCGCCTTCATCCACCCCGACCTTGGCTTGGGTGAGTCTCCAACCTTCGTCACAGGAATTTGAGATTCTCGCCGCAAGACCCACGGCGCTGAACGAGTCGCTGTCGCTGGCCTGCGCACCCGATCTCACCCACATTCCCCACACCGCTTTGTCGAGGCCTTCCTGGCGCGCAAACAGACCAGAGCTGACCCTCTCTCGACGCCCACAGGTGGAGCAGAACGACTCGTCGTGGATGCGGCTGTCGCGCTGCAGAAGCGAGGTCACGACGTCGAGATCTTTACGAGCTACCACGAGGACGGCGAGAAGGGGCGGAGCTTTGAGGAGACGCGCAATGGTCAGCTCTCTATTGCCCAATCTACAATAACGATGCTGACGATGTACTTGCAGGCACGCTCAAGGTGCACGTCCTCGGCAACTCGATCTTCCCCCGCTCCATCCTCGGCAAATTCACCATCGTCTGCGCCATGCTCCGCCAGTTCCACCTCGTCTTCTCCTTCCTCCTCGCCTGCCTCCTCTTTCACGTCTCGACCGTCCCCCTTCTCTCCCTCTTCCTCGCCCCTATCGACAAGCCGTTCAAATCCTCCTCCGACTGGTCCATTCGTCGCCAGCTCGAACCGTTCGACGTGATCGTCATAGACCAGCTCTCGACCTGCATTCCGATCCTGCGATGGTTCGGACAAAACCGCGTCGTCTTCTACTGTCACTTTCCCGACCTGCTCCTCGCCAGCGGTCCGCACGGCACCTCCGCTCCTCATGACCCGCGCGCCGGACGTCCCTTCTCATTCGGCAACGAGCTGCGATCGTTCTATCGTATCCCTATCGACCTTCTCGAGGAAGAGACGACCGGCCAGGCGGACAAGATACTCGTCAACTCGCAATTCACAGCGCAGGTCTTTGCCCGGACGTTTCAGAACTTGCGGCGGATACCCCGGGTCGTTTATCCCGCCGTCGACGCCTCGCAGTACGGTGGCGAGGTGCAGGTGGAGGAGAAGGACAAGTGGTTGCTCAGGTGCGTGACAGGTCGCCTCTCCAGGTTGCGCGCGCTGACCCCCGTCGTCTCGCAGCGACAAGCCGACACTCATCTCGATCAACCGCTTCGAGGGTAAGAAGGACATCGCGCTCGCCGTCGAAGCATTCGCCAGAACTCGAGCAACGCACCCGAACTTGCGGCTGATTTGCGCCGGTGGCTACGACCCTCGGCTGGGCGACAACGTCAAGACGCTCTCGTCGCTTCAGCTACTCGCCGCCAAGCTCGAACTGTCGCAACATACATACTCGGCGTCGGAGCTGCCTCGCGTCGCCTCGCCTGTTCCGCCGCGCTTTCGCCCGACAATCGCCAACACGCCTCCCGCTTCTGACGCCGCCTTCCCCGACGTCGTCTTCCTCCTCAACGCTACCTCGTCGCAAAAAACTCTCCTCCTCTCCGCTAGCCACACCGGCACCGTCGCGCTCCTCTATACCCCCATGTTCGAACACTTCGGCATCGTCCCCATCGAAGCGATGGCGAGCGGAATCCCCGTCGTCGCAACCGAGACGGGCGGGCCGACCGAGACTATCGTCGACAAGGGCTTGCCATCGCCTGACGAGGGCGACTTGGCGGAATCGGATCCGCGGAGGGAGACGACCGGTCTTCTGCGACCTCGCGACCCAGCAGCCTGGTCCGATGCCCTCTCGTCTCTCCTCGCCCTCACGCCCTCCCAGCGCGCCGTGATCAGCTCAGCCGGACGTCAACGCGTCAAAACCGCGTTCGGAACGGACCGGCTAGGCGAGGAGTTTGAGCGGACATGCAGAGACGCTGCGAAGAGGGGATACCCGATCCCGTACGAGGTCGGCTACAAGAAGATGCTGGCGTTCTTTGGTATTGGTGCGTTCGTGGGTGGGTTCGGCGTGTGGGCTTTCGTCACGGGAGGCATACCGGAGACGGCGATGTAGCGAGATGTCGAGGAGGTGGAAAAGCGTCGTGTATTCCTCGCAGGCGTCGCCCTTCGCTCCGTTCGCTTCGTTGACGCTCTCCTGATTGCCTTGCGCTTCTGCTGGTCACCCTCGCCTGGACCAGCGCCGCTCGAGCCTCGTCCGCTCATCCTCATCGCGAAAGCCGGATCCTCTCTTGCTCTCGCCGCCTCTCTCGCTGCTCGTCTTGCTGCTAGCTGCATGGACTGCTCTGCCCGCGCACGCAGAGGCAGACCGTCGTAGTGCTCAGCTGGCCTGACGGATCTTGCCGCCTGGCTTCGCCTCGAACGCTCGACGACGGAACGTCCGCTCACCCTCGCCAACAACAGTTCCTGCTGCTTGGACTCGCATCTCTGCTCGACCAAAAGCCACACACAGCTCGACGGACCCGACGGAAACCCCGGGAAGAAGGCGAGAGAACGAGGACGCGCTGCGGTCGAACACTTCGCTAGCGCTGGCATGAGGTTGCGTAGCGTGATGGGCCGGCTGGAGGAGCAATGTCGATGCAAAGACCGCGGGAACGGGACACGAGCAGGATGCATGCGAGATGTGGGCGGACGAACGCGATCGCTTGTTGCGTTGCTCGAGGAGGAGGAGCAAGTGCTGACGGCGCATCGTCAGGTGTTTTGTGCGAATGGCTGGGTTCTGCGCGACCCAAACAACGCTGCGGTGTCGTGGGATTGGCTGTCGATGCGGTTTTGGGCGCAGTGAAGGTTGGAGACCGGCCGGCAGAGGCGTCGGAATGCAAGGCTGGACGCGTCCAAATGCTGCTCGATTGCGTGGACTCGGAGTTGTTTGTTGTGGAGCCTCGAGGCAGAGACGCGTCGGGCGCGTGCATTGTTTGCTGACCTTCTCGGCACGGCGGGCTCGCTGTCCTCCTCCCTCTTTCCCTTCATACCGCCGTCTCCCATCCTCCCTTTGCCTGTTCGCAGTCCGACACCGACCCGCTCGACGTCGACAACCTACCGCCAACCCCGCCGGAGTACGCCCCTCGCCGTCGTCGTTCCTTTCCTCTCCCTCGTCGGCTCGTCCGTCGCCTGTCCAACTCATACGTGGCTCTACGCCTTTCTGTCACTCGTTTACACTTCCTACGATGCTCCGCCTCACCCTCCTTTCGGCTGCGGCCATCTCTGCCGTCCGTGCCTCGGTCGTCTCGACCTCCGTCTTCCCCAACTCGGCCTGCTCCGGCGCGTCCAACTCGCTCAGCGGCCTCGTCGGTGTCGGCAAGGTCACCCTGAACAACGGCCAGGTCGAGCTGCACTGCGGCTGCGCCTCGGTGAGTCCCCCTCGACCTCGGTTGACGACGCGAGGCATGTTGAGCGACGCGTCCGGGGCTAACATCCGGGTGCTCTCGCTTCGCAGGACGGCCTCGCCGACTTTGAGGCATGCCCGTCGTCGTCGCATGGCGAGAGCGTCTGCAACGGCGTCTACAACATCGAGTCGGGCGAGTTCACCGCGTCGTGCGGTGTCGTCGCTTGCTCGGGCTCGTGAGTTGCCGTCCGCTGTTTTTCTACGGCTAAGCGGGTGCTGACGATGATTCTCTCGCTCGCAGTGACTGCCCGACGACCGTCGTCAACACGGTTGCCGTCGACGAGAACGACTGCTACAACTCGGAGAAGGGCTCGATCGGTGTCGTGACCGTCGACGGCGAGGCCAAGTGCGGCTGCTCTGCTGTGCGTCGAGCCTCTGCATCTGGGAGATCAAGCCGCCGAGCTCGAAGCTGACGGACTTCGCAACTCGCAGGAGGCTGATGGCGCCGAGTTCGAGGCTTGCCCCTCGCCTGCCAACGGCCGCGCGACCTGCGTCCAGACCGACAACGACTTCCTTGGCGGTGCCTACGACCACAAGGTCAAGGTCGAGTGCGGCGTCACCTGCGACGAGGGCTTCTTCCTCACCCCGGGCGGCAAGTGCATCCAGTTCGCCAAGCGCGCTGTCTCTGGACCGTCGGGCGGCTTCCACTCGATGGGCCCCGGCAAGGTCGGCCCCTCGTCGACCTGGCCCGGCTACGGCTCGTCGACCCCCTCGACGGCCACCCCGACTTCGCGTCACCCGCATCACGCTCACTCGACGACCCCTAGCTCGTCCGCCACAACGACTTCGTATTCGTACAAGCATCATCACCACCACAAGTCGTCGTCGGCGTCGGGCCACCCGAGCGCGAGCACCAAGCTTCCTTTCCACTCGCGCGTCTCGTCGCACTCGATGCACACGTCGTCGACTTCCAAGCATCACGGCCATCACGCTCACCCTACGACGCCCTCCAGCTCGCAGTCGACGACTCGCCCGTACAAGCATCACCACCACGGCTCGTCGAAGCCTCACCACGGCTCGTCGACGAAGGTTCCCTTTGTCTCTCGTACGCCCTCGACCTCGGCCTCGACTAGCCCTGCAACCAAGGTTCCCTTCAAGTCGCGCACCTCGTCGCACCATTACGGCTCGTCGACCCACGGCCACCACACCGCCCCGACTTCGCGCCACCCTCATCACGCGCATCCGACTTCGGGCGCGTCGACCTCGAGCACGACGAGCTACTCGTACAAGCACCACCACCATCACAAGACCCATGGCCCCGGATCGTCTTCGACCGGCCACCCTTCGACGAAAGTCCCCTTCGCCTCGCGCACCCCTACGAGCGCTCCTGCCGGCTCGCCCACGACTACGCCCGCTTCGACGAGCACGACCTCGTACCCTGGCCCCGGCAAGGTCGGCCCCTCGCCTGGCCCCTCGCAGCGCGCTCGCCGCGCCGGTGAGGAGTTCGTCTTCTCGGACGCTTGCGCCCAGGACGAGCGCACCTGCCCGTCGGGCGACTTTGGCGACTTCTCGTGCGTCCGCCTCGACGACATCACCGAGTGCGGCGGCTGCCACTCGACCAACGACGCCAAGAACTGCCTCGAGATCGTCGGCGCCTCGTCGGTTGCCTGCCTCCGCGGCGGCTGCGTCGTCCGCTCGTGCCAGGTCGGCTACGTCCAGACGTCCGAGGGCACCTGCGAGCTCAAGGCGTAAACAACGGACCTCTTTTCCCTCCCATCCTCTCGCATCTACCCTTGTTCACGACTAGCCACCGCCACCCTCCCCTTTGACGACTCCCTCGCCCTCCTCGCTGCAGCCGTATCGACCTGACCCGCACGACGTTCTGTACTCCTGCTTAGACGCTGTAGGACCCTCTTCGGACCGTCGTCGCTGGCGGACAGGAATCGACTCGGACTCGCGCGGTTCATACCCCTTTCAATCCCCTCCTCCCCTTTCTTCTTCTCTCGTTTTCGTTGGATTGGATACAAGCGGTCTATTCACACCCGTTCCGTACGAGCTTGACGTTGTGCCGTCTCGATCCTTTCGACCTTCTCAATCTTGTTTGTTTCTTCCCTTACCTGCGTTTGTCCCGCCGCTGAGCGCTGCTCTGGCTGCTCGCTGCAATGCGCTTTCACGACTCGTGTGACGTTCGAGAGACGGAAGAGCCTGGGCCGACTGCTGGTCGACATGGCTTCGTTGCTCGCGACGAGAAATGCTACTGCTGCGCCTCCATCCAGCAAGGGAACCACGCGGCATCCCACTTCATCGTTGTCCGTCTCGCCTTCTCTCCCGCGTCCGTTGCCGTTGTCTCGTCGTGCGAGCGAGTCAGGCTCGACAGGCGGTTCTGGTTGGCGATCGCTGTGCGGCGGAGAGCGGCGAGTCGCTGCGAGCGAAAATGCTACGCTTAGTCACTACTTCCGCTTGGGCAGGAGAAGAACCGAGCGTACCCGCAAGGACGGCTCCGGCTGAACGGCGACGCCTCGTTCAGCGAGCGGGATCGTAGCGCCGGCGGTGAGCGCTGCAACTGCAGCGCCGTAGGCTTTTGCGGCCGTCTCAGCCAGTTGACCAGGCTGCGGCGACGATTTTGTAAGCGACATGAGCGGAAGCAGACGGGAGGGGCGGAACGCACCGTCGTAGACCGAGCCTCCCCGACCGCCATCTCATATGCGCCCCAGTCCGCCAATTCCTCGCTCTTCGGCTGCGGTAGCACGTCGAGCCAGCTGAAGCGCTGTAGGAAGCGACCTCGAGCAGCGTTTCGTGGCGGGATGGCGAGGTCGGCGAGAAATGGGTTGGAAAACTTGGGCGGTGCGGGAGTGACGGGGAGGATCATGATCATCTGCGGAACAGGAGGTCAGAGTTACGAGCAGAAGGAAACGACGCAGCTGAACTCACGAGAAACGAAGCCTCGCACATGTGCCGCACAGCCTTGGCTTCGAGCTGCTTCGCCTCGACGTACTCCACGCCTTCCCATCTTGCCACACCAGCCGTCTCCAGATCCGTCAAAAGCGTCGCAAGATGCGCCGCCAGTCGACCGCCAGTCCACCATGCCTGCCGCTTCTCCTCCTCCGCATCAAACAGCCCAACATGCTCCTCCAGCCCGCTCATGAGCGCTTCGAGCGCGATGAGCATGCTCTGCACCTCGATCGCCTTCGAGATAGACTGAAGCCCGTGCTCGAGCTCCTGCCGTCCCGCGACGTCGAGCGGAAGACTGGGTAGCAGGCTCTTGAGCAGCGGCACGACCTGCTCGTCGGCCTCGCGAGCAAGTTCGAGCCACCCTCGCAGCGACTTGATCGCCAACCGTCGCTGCCGTCCTCGATTCTGGCCGCAGAGGTGTACCGAGCTCTTGATGAGGAACTCGCTGGCGAGGCGCTCGAAGAATCCGATTGCCTTGTGAGCGAGTTGAGAGGGGTCCGTTTCGGTTGAGCGGAGGGAGAGGAGGGTCGAGAAGAGCGTGTTGAGGTGTGTAGGCGAGAGGGGGACGAAAATGCGCAGGAAGGAGAGCGAGAGATGGAGGTGGTTCGAGACGCTGAAGAGGTGTGTCGGTGAGGCGATGACGGACTGCGAGTGGAAGCCGATCAGTGAGCCATTCACAACCTCGCAGAAGTCGGCGCACCTGTTGAATCGAGCGCATGTACGGCACCGACGCCTTTCTCCCTCGCTCGCGCGTCCACTCCGCCAGATCCTTCCATACCGCATCTCCTTCGATCCATGCCGACCAGAACGACATCAGGCCCTTCAGATCAGACGCCATGTTGCGCAGCTGATCGTACGCCTCGCCGACCGACATGGAGGTGACGGGTCGAGGAGGTTGTTGGGTCGCGAGCAGCGGGATGGAGGCGGACGGGAGGAAGAAGGCTCGAAGCGCTGGAGACGGGGTGAAGACAGAAGATGGGGTCTCGGACGCCGAGGGGAAAGCGGAGCAGTACGCGATGAGGCGATCGAGGTGGTGCGTGATAGTGCGTGGCGAGGTGTGCGCTGGAAAGGTGAGGAGAGCGGTCGCATAAAGCAGGTCCTGCCAGACACGATGTCAGCTTTTCTTCACCCGCGCATGAAGCGAATGGCGCATACGCACTATCCGCATCATCAGCCTGAAGCGCAACTGGTCAAGCACCTTCTCATCCTCCGCCCAATCGGCTCCAGACGCCTGCGCCTCCTGAACCCACTGCAGTGCCTCGTCGAGATCTCGTAGAACATCGTCTACCGAGACTGTTCGTTCTTGTACCTGACGAGACGGCGGGTCGGCTCGCAAAGGATCGGCTGGCAGAGGCGGAGAAGGCGTCGCAGGTGGATAGCAGGCTGACATGAGCGAGTTGAACGAGAGAGTGGAGAGTGATAGGTGGACATCTTCGTGCTGTGTATCGAGGACATAAGCTCGCAACAGTCTCGCTTATCGTCGCAGTTCGGCTGAAAAGTAGGTTGTCGACGCACCTCGTACAGCTGCGCCTTGCCGGTCTCCTCCCACATGATCTCCGATGTCTTCAGTGTCCCAAGGAGCAGAGCGCGAAGGACCACCGTCCGCAAGTCAGTTGGTCGCAAGTAATCCTCTTCAACGGAGGGTCCGGGCGCGCTGCGTCCTGGGTCGCAAAGCGCGGCGAGAGAGGGTGGGCGAAGGAGGTTGCAGGTCCAGAGAGTGGAGGAGAGAGGGTGGCCGTCTCGAAAGGTTGCCTGCGGATGGGAGTGTAAGGCTTGCCTCGCGCGACGAGACGAGCGGAACGTACTTCGAGTCGCAGCAGCTCATCGTGCACCCAAAGCAACTCTTCTGCGCTGAGCTCGACAGACGGATTGAAGGGCGGAAGGTCGGCGGATCGGGCTTGGCGTTCCTTCTGCGCATGGAGGAAAGTGTCTGTCCGGCCGTCGTTGATCTGCGAGGAGCGAGTCTGTCAACGAGATGTCTTGACCAGGTAGAAGAAGCAAGGCGCACCTCGATTGCACTCATGAGATCCATCATCCCATACCGCTCGTCGCGGACGAGTTGGCCCTTCGAGAGCTCCGCAAGGGCCGATTCGAGCAGCGGGATGGCGTCGATGAATTCAGAAGGTTGCATCGTCGGATCCATGCCGGTACAAGGTGCTCAGGCGGCGAAATTGAGTGGAAGAAGGGGGCAAGGGGAACGAAGGGCAGGAGAACGCGCTTCTGCGCGTGCAGGCAACCAGGCCAAGCTCGTCAGCCGCCTTCACGGTACAATGCTAGGTAAACTACTGTCACGCACGAAGATTCTGCCTCGTACAGTGCACGTTTGATGTCGATCGGCTTGATGAAGCGAGAGGAGGACAAGGAAGACGACAACAGCACCAGCGGGCGAGTCGACAGATCTGAGTGAGTTCGAAGGCTGTTTGATCACGCTTGAGATCCTCAAATTGTCCACACGAGCGGGTCGCGAGCAACGAGATGAAGCGGAGGATGTCGAAGGACGCTCTCGCTCTCGCCAGCCACCCCTTACCCGCGTGCGAGCTGCAGCTGTGCACGAGGAGACGCCTGCTGTATATCCAGTGTCCGCTACGCCAGCCAGCCCAACTCCCATCGGGTTTGGCCGCCGCTTTGCCTCCATCGGACGTAACATCACTGACACCCTTCATCCACCCTCTGCGCTGCCGGTTCGATGCCGCAAGATCGCTCTGCCAGTCACTTGCACTACTCCGGCACCGGCGGCGGCAGGCGATCGCGCGCCGTTGACGACGAGGACGGTGACTTGCCGTGGTGGGAGCAGGACAGGCGTGGAAGCGGAGGACAGCGCGGTTTCGACGACGATTATGACAGAGGTGCGAGGAGGAGTAGCTACCGCGACCTCGATGCGCCGCAAGATGACCGGGACTACGGCAGGCGAGGCGGAGGTTACCACGGTGGAGGAAGGGAAGACAGGCGTGGCTATGACGATCGGGGCGGATATTCGAGGGGAGGACGAGGGTATTACGACCGTGACAGGGACGATGGGCGAGATGGCGGACGAATGCGAGGCGACAGCTTCTCAGGCAGGGACCGCTCGCGCCGAACAAGCATTCCTCCCGCTCCTCGCTCTGCCTCGTCCGCGCAAGGCTCACCTCCACGACAGCCGCAGCCTCCTCTCGCAGCGCCACCTACGCAGCAGCAGTCGCCGACGCCCGCTGTTCGCCCCGACGTAGAAGAGGGAGAGTGCGTTCCTACGCCCGTCTTTCCCGAAACATTCGCTGACCCCGCTTGATACAGGATCGAACCCGCACCAGAAGTCGAACTCGACCTTACACCTGCCGTCGAGCCAGACCCTGAAGCGATTCTCGCCGAGCGCCGCCGCAAGCGCGCCGAGATCCTCGCCAAGTACGCCTCGACGAACCCGTCCGCCGCCGCTTCGCCAGCAGGTGGTGCGACTCCCGACATCAAGCGCGAAGCGACAGACGAAGGTACGCCTGGCAGGGAAGGCGTCGAGCGGGCAGCGAAGCGGATGAGGATCGGAACAGGTGCGTCGGGTTCGCAGACTTGCAGTCTTCCTTCGCAGAGTTGTCTGCCAGGCACAACTGCTAAGCTTTGTGGATGTTCTTACGCAGACTCTCCCGCCATCTCTTCCGCCGAGCCCTCGACTCGCGCCGTCTCGGTCGTCCCGCCCGAGGACGGCATATTCTCGCTCTCGAAAGACGCCTCGACCGCCTCTGCCTCAGCTGCCGAAACCGGTCCCGCCCAATCTGACGCAGACGAAATCAACGCGGCCGACTACAACCCAGACGGAGCGGACGACGACAGGCGGCAGAAGCGCGAGTTGGAGAAGGAGCGTGAGCGGAAGGAGCAGGAGGAAGTGAAGATTGAGAGCGATGGTGAGGAGATCGAGACTGAGGAGGAGGAAGAGGAGGAGGACGACGAGGACGACATGTTCGCGATCGGAACGGGCGAAGAGAAGAAGCCGAAGAAGGTCGTGAAGAAGAAGGTCAAGAAGAGTGGCCTACCGGTGCGTACGAAGTTGTCGACTCTTGCGCTTCCCCCAGCTCACGTTCATAGCGCGCAGCTCGTCAACCGCGCCCTCCCCGCTGCACTTCCCTCGAACGCCGCCGCCTCGCTCCTCGCCGACAACTACGACGATGCGGAAGGCTACTACCGCGTCATCCTCGGCGAAGCACTTGACAACGGTCGCTATCATGTCGTCGCGAATCTCGGAAAGGGCATGTTCTCGAATGTCGTGCGTGCTAGGGATCTCGGCGAGAAGGGGGAGGGGAAGTACGAGGACGAGGAGGGAGGGCTCGGCGGGAAGGGCGTTGGAGAAGGCGCGAAGAGGGAAGTCGCGATCAAGATTGTCAGGAGTCAGGAGAGTATGTGAGTCGGCAGTTCTCGTTTCTTCCGCGCGGTCAGGTCGCTCTCGCCTCGAGATACACTCTCGCGCCCTGGTGGACCAATGCTGACTCAGCTTTTGTTGTCGCACAGGTACAAGGCGGGTCTCAAAGAGGCGCAGATCCTCCGCCGCCTGCGCGACGCCGACCCGGAGGACAAGAAGCATCTCGTTCGCCTCTTGCGGACATTCGAGCACCGTGGTCACCTGTGCTTGGTGTTCGAGTCGCTGAGGTGAGTTTGCGACGTGCCATGTGTGCCGCTGAACCCGCTCGCTGACCTGACTCCCGCTTTCGCAGCATGAACCTCCGCGAAGTCGTCAAGCGTTACGGCAAGGATGTTGGCCTCAACTTGCGAGCCGTTCGCGCCTATGCCAGCCAGATGTTCCTCGCGCTTGCACTCATGCGCAAGTGCGAGATCATGCACGCCGATCTGAAGCCGGACAACATCCTCGTGAGTCTGCTCCTTCCGTCTTCACGTTGTCGCGGCGCGGAGTCTACGGCTCTCCCGAGCGTTCGACGACAGGGAGCAGCGCTCACAGCCAGTTCACTCGCAGGTCAACGAGTCCAAGTCGACGCTCAAGGTGTCCGACCTGGGTTCCGCTTCGGATGTCACGGAGAATGATATCACGCCCTACCTCGTCTCTCGCTTCTACCGCGCTCCCGAGATTAGTGAGTTCCGCAATTTGGCATCTCGGTGAACACCCTCGACGACGACCTGCTCCTCGTCCGGATTCTCCGAGACACGGTAACTGACCTCGCGTATCGTCTCGCAGTCCTCGGTCTCCCCTACGACTACTCGCTCGACGTCTGGTCGATCGCCTGCACGCTCTATGAGCTGTACACCGGCAAGTGAGTCTCGTCTCACAACCTTCGCCCGCTTCTTCCGCTGACCCGAGTCGCCTCAAAGGATTCTCTTCCCTGGTCGCACGAACAACCACATGCTCTTGCTCATCATGGAGACCAAGGGCAAGTTCAACCACAAGCTGATCCGGAAAGGTCGCTTCCACGACCAGCACTTCGATGAAGGCATGACCTTCCAGTACACGGAGAAGAACGTGCGTACCCGATTCTCCGCGCTTCCGAAGCTTCATATCTGACGCGATCGGTCTTGCAGGACACGGTGACGCCTCGCCAGATTCCGTCCAAGCCGCCGTCCGACATTCGTTCACGCTTGTTGCCGCCAGGCGTCGCGCGACGCCTCAAGGAGGACGAGGCTCGCCTGCTCGGTCATTTTGTCGACCTCCTCGACAAGATGCTGAGCCTTGAGCCAGCGCGGCGGCCCACACCCAAGGTGAGCCTTCCTTCGCTGCGCCGACTCGCGTCTTGCTCGTAAGTTTCGCTGACGATGTGTGCTCCTGTAGGAGCTGCTCAATCACCCGTTCATTCGAGGCTGAGCGAGGCAGGAGGTGAGCCTGGACGACGACCAAGTTTGTAGCCCTTTCGCCTAGCATTGTCTATCGAGGACGCTGTCCCTCCGCATCCATAGACCTCGCCTCGCTGCGTTGAGTGGCGACCTCGACTACGCAATTCTCGAGCATTGCGTCGCGCTTTCGCAGCTCGACGGGCTCTGCTCGCCCTCTTGGTCGACAACCTCTCGGCCGCTGGCTCGCGGTATCGTTCTACTCGGTTCCGCAGCGACCATGAGAACCATCCATTGACGACGGCCTCGCAGGCCCTGCCAATCAGCCGCGACTCGATCGTGTTCTCCTCCTCCTCGCGCTCGCATCTCTCCGAATCAGGCAGGCTTCTCCGGAATCGATTGCTCAGATCCGAGTGTGTTCCGCTCTTTTGGGTTTGGTCGCGCCGTCCCGCCCCACAAGCAACACCCGCTCCGTACTGTGAGCACCAGCCGGTTCGTCGCATGGAATCGGTCGAGGATGGCGGAGGGCGAGGGACGTTGCATCCGAGGCTCGCTTTTGTCCTCCGCCGCATCAGCTGCACGCCCGCCTCTCTCGCTTCACGCCTGCTCGACCTCCTTGGCGCCGTAGCGAGCGCGCGACGCGACTTCCTCCGTTGACATGTTCGCTCGAATCGCCGTCGGCACCCTCCTCGCCGCTGCGGGTTCCGTCGAGGCGTTCTGGCGTCTGTGCGTCCCGTTCCAGCGTTGCGACGGATGCTGCTCAGTCCCGCTAACCTCGCTTGGGCGCCCGCGCAGCCCCTGCGGCAACTCGCTCGTTGTCGAGCGCGGAGACACCATCGTCAGCCCGGGCAGAGTCTCGTGAGGAAATTTGAGGGCTGCAGGTTGCGCAAACATACTCATGGGGCTTACTTGCGCAGCGGCCATGTCCACAACATCCTCGGCGGCAGCAACTTTGGCCTCGACACCACCTTCGACTCGCTCCGCCAGAGCGCGTGCACCAGGTGCGCTGCGTCAAGTCCGCCTGCTCTTATTGTGCCACGTACTAATGCGCAACACTTCGACACAGCTGCCTGGTCAAGCAGGACATGTAGGACTCCTCGTCACTCCTCCTCCCCTGCGACACTGACTCTTTCCTTCGTTCCGCCTCCGCCTTCGCCCTTTTCCTTTCGCAGGAGTAACTACTGGACGCCTCAACTGTGCGTTCGTGCTTCGCAGCGTCCCCGTCCAGCCTCTGACAGACGTTCCTCCGCAGCTACTTCCAATGGGCGAACGGCTCCTTCACCGACGTCAACGTTGTCGGCGGCGGCCTCATCTACTACCTCCCTCGCAACAACGCGGCCGACACAACCAATGTCACCGCGTTCCCCGACGGCTTCCGCATGCTGACCGGCAACCCTTTCAAGCGTTCCTACGACGGATCGCCTACCGCTGAAGCTGTCGGCTGGAACTGGTGTGTCCCTCCCATTCGCTCGCGCCCCTCTCATGCGATCACGCTAACGCTGTTGTCGTCAGCCTCGGCTCGAACCTGCCGGCCACTCGCAACCCTTGGCTGCCGAACGTCAACTGCCCGAACGGCTTGCGTGGCGAGGTCCGCTTCCCCGTGAGTTCCGTCCTTGTCACATGCTTGCAAGTATCGGTACTCACGGTCGACCTCTGTATGCAGTCCTGCTGGAACGGCGTTGACCTCGACTCGAGCGACCACTTCAGCCACATGGCGTACCCTATCGGCGGAGAGACCGGACGTGCGTTCTCACCCTTCTAAAGCGAGTCGAATTACGACGCTGACGGTATCGCAATTCGCAGCGTGCCCCGCTGGCTACCCCGTCCGCCTCGTCACGCTCTTCTACGAGGTGCGTTCCGCCCACTTTCTTTCGACAACTGCTCTGACTGACAAAGTACGCCTTCTACAGATCATGTACGATGTCGACTCGTGGAAGAATCTCTGGCCGCAAGCGATGAACACCTCGCAGCCGTTCGTCCTGGCGATGGGAGACCCGACTGGGTGCGCCGCCTCTCCCTCCAAGTTTCCGACCTTTCGCTGACTGTTCCCTTGCGCAGCTACGGTTGGCACGGAGACTTCTACAATGGCTGGGACCGCCAAGTGTTGCAGACCGCCATCGACACCTGCACGAGCGACTCTGGTCCGTCGCTGTGTCCCTTCCTTCTCGCTACGCAGCTGATGCGCTGACGCCTCTTACGCTTTCCTCAGGCGTCATTGAGTACTGTGCGTGCTCGTCGTTTCGCTTAGACAGCTCGTTTCGCCCAGCTGCCCTCGACTTGCTGACCTGGTGTGAACCGCAGGCACGGTCTTCGATCTTTACGACCCGAGCCACGAATGCCGCAAGACGCCCGACTTCGACGAGATTGTGCTCGGCACCCTCCCGTCGCTGCCGGGATGCAACCCTGTGACCGGCGAGGGTCCGGCCGCGACGCCTTGCTCAGACCCGACTTCGCCGCCGGTCTTCTCGAACCCGGCCGCATACAACGGCTCCGCGCCGTGAGTCCTCACGGCGGCATCATTCCTGATCTCGTGCTGACCGTGACGCCTGACGCAGCCCGCCCGGCTCGCCCGTCCTCAGCAACGAGCCTCAAGTTGTTTCCTCCTACGTCTCCAGCTCGCACAGCAACTGGACTTACCAGGGCTGCTACTCGGATCTCGCACCTGGTCGTGTCTTGCCGAACGGCTTGACTACCGTCAACAAGACCGTCGAGTCTTGCATAGAGGCATGCGACTCACGCGGATACGTCTTCTGCGGTGCGTCCTTCTCCTGCGTTGTGATCCTGCTTGTCGCTGATTTTGCTTACTTGTGCAGGCGTCGAGTACCACGGCGGTGTGTTCCGCCGATGAAGAGCACCGCAAGATGGGCGACTGACTTCCCTTTCATTCAGAATGCTGGGGCGGCAACGCTTTGAGCCCGAACTCGACCGATCAGGGCTACGGAGCATGCGGCTTGACGTGCACCGACAACCCTCTCCAGTACTGCGGCGGCACGGGAGGCGTCACGGGCGCGACCTTCGAGCTCTACACTCGTCCTGCGGTGGGCGCCCTCGTCCTCCTCGATCGTTGCGATCGCTTGCTGACAACTCTGCTCCGCAGCCGCCAAAGACGACGAGCGCCACGGCCAGCAAGACCTCCACGGCTTCAGCCATTTCGACTGCCGTCTCCGCCAACTCGACAAAGGCGTCCTTGACCGTGTCCCTCTCCGCTTCCTCCTCAGTTGTCGCCAACGCAACAGCGTCGATCTCGGCAAACAGCAGCAGCGTCTTGCCTACGAGCACCCTCGCCCCCTCTACAGTGTCATCCGCCGTGAGCAGTACGGCGATAGCGTCGTCCGTCTCGTCGACCTCATTCATCGCCTCGTCGACCGTTTCCTCAACCCTTTCCTCCGCTTCGCCGTCAGCCAGTGCTTCCACCAAGCTCCTTACGAACCCGAACTGGAAGTGTGCGTCGCATGAGTCTCTCTCCTTCCAAGCGTATCTAGCTCACCAGTGTGTCCGCAGACTCGGGCTGCTGGTCCGACCTCGTCAACGGCGGTCGCTCCCTCCCGAATACCCTCACCGGCTCGTCCGACTTTACGATCGAGAGCTGCCTAGCCGTGGCCGACGCGCAAGGCTTCGCCGTCGCCGGACTCAGCTACATGGGCGAGTGCTACGCCGCGCCTGCTCTCGGGCTCTACTCGGCTCAGCTCGACGCATCCAAGTGCACCATGACCTGCAAGAACGCGGCGAACGAGACATGCGGCGGAAGCGACGCGCTCGACGTCTACACCTCGACCCAGCGACCGGTTGTCACCGGTCCGACGAACACCCAGCTCAAGACCTTCGGGCAGTGGAACTACGATGCCTGTGCGCAACTCACTTCTTCTTCTGCTCTCTCATGTTGACGGTTAGCTCGCGCAGGCTACTCCGACCTCGTCAACAACCAGCGGTCGCTCCCGACGCAGATCACGAACGCGAACCAGACCGTCGAAGCCTGCCTTGACGCCTGCACCGACAAGGGCGCGACTGTCTGCGGCTTGTCGTACTGTGCGCACCGCTCACGGTCCTTTTGCGGGTGCCAGCGCTGATCTTCGGCTCTCGCAGACCACGAGTGCTGGATGACCACGACCAACATTTCCTCGGCTTCGACCGTTCTCGACGACACGAGCTGCCGCTTCCCCTGCGCTGGCAATCCACTCGAGGTGCGCTCGATCGATATCCCCTCCATGCTGTCCGCAAGCTGACCCTCGCTTCTGCAGATGTGCGGAGGCAGCGGCGCCCTCTCCGTCTGGCGCCTCACGCCCGCCTCCGCCAACGCCAAGATCGCCGCTCCCGCTAGCGCTGGCTCGACCACCCTCGCTTCCGCAGCTGCGACGGCTAGCTCGCGCCGCACGATGCGCAAGACGTCGAGGAGGAGGCCGTGAGCGTCCGTTTGACCAGCCGCTACCAAATCGCCCATAGAGCTTTCCTTATTCTCTCCCTAGCCTGACCTAGCCCTTTACGAAGAGACTGCAGTATGAACTGGTTGACCTATCCGAGCCGAGCGAGTCTGGACTAGACGCAGGAGCGGAGGACTGCCTACGGTCGCGAGTGTCTGCCCTGGTGAGCTGACCGACAATAGGACAAGCGAAAGTGAAGCCGTTGGACCGGTTCTGATAGCGGGATCGCCATGTCGGCAATAGCAACTCCAGCTCGAGGGCTGAACGAGGGAACGGCTCGGTGGCGGGAGTCGTTGACACTTTGGGAGGCTCGGCGCAGCCTTTTTCGTGGGCGATAAAGCATTTCGCTCCATCGCCAGGGGAGCGGCTGCCGCCAGATGCCCAGCACCGCGTCCTCCGCTTCAAAGCCGACGACCGCAATCCTCGTTCGGCTCCAGCCAGTCCGCCGCCCCCGCTCCAGCCATTCCAAGACCCGATTGCGTCTCCAGCTGTGCCCGTCAGGCCCCGCAATGCTGCCTCCTGCTTGTTGAGCCCGTCGACCGATGAGAATCGGACGAGGTCGAGGCACGGCGAGGGCGGCGTTGCGCCAACGGAGAGGAGCGCGGCAGCACTTCGTGTCGGTCTAGCAAGCGTTCAAGCAGTACAGGACCCCTCCCGAGCTGTGAGAGTGCAGCGAAGTGGGCGAACCGCTCGCTTGTCCTCCTCGTCCTGCAAGAAACTCGACCGTCGCCTCTTTGCGTCGGTTTGAGCGAGATCATTGCTTGCAAGGCTCCTCATGGGCGCACGCCGACGCCGCCAACCGTCCCGCGTTCACCCATCGCGTCTCTCCGCCCCCCTCGCCGCTTTTCCGCCGGAAATGCCAGATCGCAACACAGGCCGCCTCGTCCTCCAGGGCGCAAGTGCGGGGCGCAATGACCTGGTCGAGCGACCTGCCTGCGACTCTTGCGCACCTGTGGCGAGAGGGAGGCGACTTTCCCGCTTGCCGTCTCCTCCTTGCCCTCCCCTGCACCGAGTTTCGGCCTTTCCCACGCTTGCGGGTATAGCTGCATCCCTCAGTAATTCGGAATCGCTCGAAGCTTGGACTTGACGGATCTAGACGCGGCACGGGGGCATGACGGGCACGCGCAAAGGTCGTCGGCCATAGACGCTCCCGCGTTTCCCTCCCTTCCCTTCGATGGCTCTGCCCTCTCCCTCTTCTCCTTCACTCGCTGCCTACACCGCACTCGCCATGTCGGACTATCCCACACATCCGCGCAACGACTTTGGCGATACGTCGCCCGCCAGGCTCGAATCCCACCTCTCCTCCTCTCCCGCTCCCCACATCGAGCTTCGCTGGCAAGACTTGACGGTCACGGCGCCCAAGCGCGACAGGCCCATCCTTGCCTCGCTCAACGGCTCTGCCAGGTCAGGCGAATGCCTCGCAGGTGCGCCTCCTTTCCTCCTCCCCGGCATATCCACGGACGTTGGCTGATCCTGTTCCCGTCTAGTTATGGGCCCGTCTGGCGCCGGCAAGTCGACTTTTCTGGACGCCATCTGCCAGCGCACGCCTCGCGCCAAGGGTCTCGTCACCGTCAACGGCTCGACCGACTACTCGACCCGCGACCTCTTTTCGTTTGTTGAGCAAGACGACGCTTTGCTCGGCGTGTTGACGGTTCGCGAGACAGTCGCCTTTGCTGCCTACCTTGCGTGAGTCGTGCAGGCCTTGCTGCCCGGACAAGCCAACCTCGCATTCCGGTCGGGAGTCGCGGATTATTGTTCCCTTGCTGACATTCTCCCTCGGCTCCACAGACTCGGCCCTTCGTACCCCAACATCGACCAGCACATCGACGCCACCCTCACCTCGCTCGGACTGTCGGCCATCGCCGGGAACAGGATCGGCACGCCTCTCCAGCGCGGCATCTCGGGCGGCCAGAAGCGTCGCGTCACCATCGCCTGCTCGGTCGTGGCCAAGCCTCGCATCCTCGTCCTTGACGAGCCGACCAGCGGTCTCGACAGCACTTCGGGCCGCGAGGTTGTCGCTTTCTTGCAGCGTCTCGCACGCGAGCAGGGCGTTCTCATCATTTGCACGATTCATCAGCCCAACTTTGAGACGTTCGCCCTCTTCGACCGTCTTCTCCTGCTTGCTGGCGGACAGACCATGTACGACGGCAGGGTCGGTGCGTCCGCTTCTCCTTCCTCGACCGAACCTTCGCAAGCTGACTTCTACGCCCTTCCCTCGCAGACGACCTCGACAACTACCTCGCTTCGGTCGGCTCGCCCACGCCGGCTCACGTCAACCCCGCTGACCACGCGATCGAGCTCGTCAACACCGAGTTCCGTTCGGGCGACAAGGGCGACGACAACTACCCTCCGACCGGCGACTTTGCCAGTCCCGCCGAGCATCTCCAGTCTCGCGCTGACCTCTGGACCAATTACAAGGCCAAGAACCTCGCAGGAAGCAAGTCGACGTCGGTCGAGGAACTCGACGCACACGCGCTCGGCCGCAAACGCTCGACCGCAAGCCAGTCGTTCGTTACCAACATGCGCAAGACGATCACGCTCAGCCACCGGGCGGCGTTGAACTACTCTCGCAACGTTTTGGCGTATGGGATACGCCTAGGCATGTACTGCGGCATGGGTCTGCTCCTGGCGACGGTTTGGATCCGCCTCGGCTGGACGACGGACAAGCTCAACGATCGCCTGAGTGTCTCGTTCTTCTCCGTCGCTTTCCTCGGATTCATGGTGTGTCCCGATGTCCCTAGACTCGATGTTTGGTACGCGTACTGACGATTCCGGATCCCAGTCGGTCGCTGGTATTCCGTCCTTCCTCGAGGTGCGTCCTTCGGATCCTCCCAGGCGTCGCTGCTTGGCTCCAGCCCTCCTTCGCCTCTTGATCGCGTTTTGTACTGACGGATTGTCTGTCGTGTATGTAGGAACGCGCCGTCTTCATCCGCGAACGCGCGAACGGACTCTACTCCCCCGCCCAGTACCTCCTCGCCACCACCCTCGTCTCGCTCCCTTTCCTGTTCGTTTGCGCCGCTGCGTTCACCCTCATCATCTACTGGGCCATCGGCATGAACCCCGGCGCGACCCACTTCTTCCGCTTCCTCCTCTACCTCTACCTCGGCCTCGTCGCCGCCGAATCGCAGTCGCTCCTCGTCGCCGCTGCTATCCCCATCTTCGTCGCCGCGCTCGCTATCGCCGCGTTCGCCAACGGACTGTGGATGTGCGTCCAGGGGTACTTCATCCGAGCGACGTCGCTTCCAAAGTTCTGGGTGAGTCGCTTCGCAGCTCGACCTGGACTTGCTCGCTGACGTGAGCACATACAGTACTACTGGGCGCACTTTATCGACTACGAGACTTTTGCCTTTGAGCTGCTCGTCCGCAACGACTTCGTTGGCAGGATCCTGACTTGCCCCAAGGGACCGGACGGTTCGTGTCTCTGCCCGATTCCGAGCTCCCTCACGCCCGGACAGTGCGCGGTCAGCGGCGAGGACGTGATCCAGGTGGGTACATCGAGCTTGCCGGTTCAAGAGTGCTCGGAACTGACCGTTCGTCTTCGAACAGAACCTGGGTTACGGCGGCGTCAGCGACGGCCTCTACGTCGGCATCCTCATCATCATCATCTTCGTCTACAGGCTTCTCATGTGGGGAGTCCTCGTCTGGCGCAAGCGGTAGAGGCTCGGCGCCTTCGACTTCCTCTCGAAAACCGTTTGAGGTCTCCGTCAATGCCCTTCCCATACATCTTTGCCCTCCGATACACTTCTTTCGTCAGTAGCAATAGCTTCGCGTAATGAACAGCTCGTTTTGCAGCACCTTCAGCTTGTCGAGGTCGCGGCGAGAGGGCCCTTCGCATAGTTCCCTTCTCCCACTTGCTCGACTCGCTCAGACTGCCCGCTTGGATGGCTCGGTAAACTCATGCTTCTACGACACAGGCCCCAGTGACCCTGCACACCCTTCGCGCGCCCCGATGCCGTCGCCAGCGTTCTCATCAGCCGGCGGTCTCCTTCACCCGACATTCTCCTCGGCGCCGTTCTTTTTCGACCGCGCGGCTCTCTCGAGTGATGCAGGGAAGGGTGGAGTGGTGGCTGAGTACACCGGCGGAGGCGCAGCGGGCGGAAACGGCGATACGAGCGGGAGCTTCCTCGAGGGTGAGAGTTGGCGGGGTGGCTTCACGGGCGGGAGCGCGGTAGGGGTGCGTCTGGCTTCTCCGATACCGCTCCGTCAACTGAGCAAACGTGCTGACCTGTCCTTCGCGCCCGCAGCTCCACTCGGCGCCGAGGGTGTCGTACTATTTCTCGCGAGGTGTCGGAGAGTACCATTTTGGCGTGAGTCCCGCATATTGCGCCGTCTGTAAGCCAGTAACAGATCCCCGACAGCTCACACCGCCGCCGCCCCGCAGGAACGACATCCGATGAAGCCTCACCGCCTGACCTTGACGAACCACCTCGTCGTTGGATACGGCTTGCACAAGCGGATGGACGTCTTTGAGCCTCGCATGGCGACCAAGGAGGAGCTGGAGATGTTCCACGACGAGGACTACGTCGACTTTCTCGCTCGGTGAGTTGGGACGGACAACCTCGAATGTTTGTTGTCGCTCAATCGCGAGCGTAGGCTGACTCCCACAATCCGTCCAACCCGCAGCGTCACCCCAGATAACGTCCGGCACTTCTCGACCGTTCTGACGCGCTTCAACATCGGCGACGACTGCCCCATCTTTGCCGACATGTACTCGTACTGCCGCCAATACGCTGGGGCGTCGCTAATGGCCGCTCGCAAGCTTGTCGCGGGGACCACCGACATCGCGATCAACTGGACGGGCGGGTTGCACCATGCCAAGAAGAGCGAGGCGAGCGGGTTCTGCTACGTCAACGACATTGTGCTTGCGATCCTCGAACTCTTGCGGTGAGCCGGCTCTCGCGCTCGCACCCCTCGTAATCATTCACTGACAGCTTGCTCTGTCGAAGGACCCACCCTCGCGTGCTGTACATCGACATAGACATCCACCACGGCGACGGCGTCCAGGAGGCCTTCTACAACACGAACCGCGTCCTGACCGTCTCGTTTCACAAGTACTCGCCCGACTTCTTCCCCGGTACGGGCCACATCGACGAGGTCGGTCACGCGTTGGGCAAGAACTTTTCGCTCAACGTGCCGCTGCAGGACGGGATCGACAACGAGTCGTACATCGCCTTGTTCAAGTCGATCATGGAGCCTACGATCAACACGTACCGCCCTAGCGCAATCGTCCTCCAGTGCGGCGCCGACTCGCTCGGGTGCGACCGACTCGGGTGCTTTAACCTGTCGATCGCGGCGCATGGCGAATGCGTCCGCTTCATCAAGTCGTTCAACCTGCCCTTGATCGTCCTCGGCGGCGGAGGGTACACGATCAAGAACGTGTCCCGCTGCTGGACGTACGAGACCGCCGTCCTCCTCGGTCTCGAGCAGGACTTGCCGAACGCTCTCCCGCACACGGCTTACGACGACTTCTTCGCTCCCGACTGGAAACTTCACCCGGACCTCGCTTCGGGCCGCAACCGCCTCGAGAACCTCAATTCGCGGAAACAGCTCGAGCGGATTCGCGTCGCGGCGTTGGAGCGCGTGAGGTACATGGCGGGCGCGCCGGGCGTGCAGATGGCCGAGGTGCCGCCGAGTCTGGCGTCGTGGATCGCAGACGAGGACGAGAAAGAGGAGAAGGAGGCGAAGGAAGAAGGGAACGAGCGGGAGGAGGACCCGCACCGCGCGACGAACGACTACTTCGGGTCGGAGAGGGACAGGGAGGGACTGGCTGGCGGTGGAGACGGCTACTCGGCGGGTACGAGCGCGGCGACTTCGGCTGCGACGACTCCTGCGTCGGCGTTCCCGCCACGCATGGGCGGCGGACCGCATCGCTCGCGACTGTCGGTTTCGTCGGGCATCGCACCTTCGACTCCTTCGCTCGTTGGCGGCACGGCGGGTAAGAAGCGGCGGAAGGTCATTGCTGGCGGGACGAAGGAGGAGGGAGCGATGAACCCGCCGCCGAACCCGTCGCGGCCTGGGATGTCGACTCCCGCTGCGTCTGGCAAGGTCGCCAAGCCTCGAATGGACCCAGGCGGAGCGGACGACGAGGAGTGACTCGCGGTTTCTGAATACAAGGTGTTGTTGTAATAGCCCGGATTACAAGTTGATTACAAAGCCGGGGACTTGGTCGTCTCGCACCTTCTCTTTCGCCCGCTTCTCGCTCTCTTCGCTCTCGCTTGGTTTGTTCGCTTGTTTGACTGGCTGGACGACTCGAGCACACGCACGCTAACCCCAGCACACACCCGTGAGTCGCGCGCGCCCACTCTCGCTCATCCTCACCGGTCCTCATGACCTCATCAACTCGAGGGCTTGCTCACACGACCATCGCATCGCTCGCAGCGCAGACACGCCGGTACACTCACCAGTGACCGACACACTCTCTTCTGGCCGACGGACGCACTTCCGGCGACTTGACGCCATGTTCTCGCAACCGGCTCCGCTGTACACCCACTATCAGCCGCCTCCTCAGCCGATGTACCCTCTCCCGCAGTCGCAGCAGCCTCAGCAGCCTCTGTCGCAGTACCAGCAGCCGCTTGGACCGTCGCCGTCGTCGTCGATGACCGCACCGCCTCCGCCGCCCGCCTTCATCGGCCAGCCTCAAGGAGGAGGAGCGTTCAACGGCGCACTCCAGCCGAACAACGGCGCGAGCGGGGTTGGGATGGGCGTAGGGAGCGGCGCGGGGGACTTTGAGCTGTTCGGCCCCTCCTCGCCTCGGCACACTCAGCAACCTCGGTCACAGCAGCTGCCTCCCTATCGACAGCCCTTCCAGCAGCTCCCGCGGCAGCAGCACAGCCAGCGAGGTCCAAGGGACGCTTATGCGATCCCCATACCCTCGAGCTCGTCGTCCGAGTCGTCGCAGGACGACACCGACTACCCTCCCCTCCCTGAACTCGTCGCCGACGACGGGTCTGCACCGTCACCCGCCGCGTCATTCTCTCCACCGTCTCCCAAGTTCATCTCGCCCATCAGGCCAGGGCTTCTGAAGGAGCTTGGCGGGACAGGCGGCGGACAAGCGGGCTTCAGCGGGCTGAACGGGTACGGTCTGGGCTACAAGGGCGAGCGCGCTTCGAGCGTGCCCGTCCCCGAACCGCCGCGGCCAATGCGACGGAAGACGCAGGAGTCGCGCGACTGGCCGTCGTTCTACTCGTCTGGTTCGTCGTCGAGCAGCTCGAGTCAGGGCGCGGCTGGTCAAGCTGCGCCCGCAAATGGCGGCTTCCTCGGCGCTCCTTTCGCCGCTCAGACCTACACAGATGAGCCAGCGTTCTTCGTCACGCCGACAGGCCCGACCGCCAATCCTTTCGATGCCGCCAACCTCGTCCTCTCGCCCGCTCAGCAGCTTCCCTTCGCACAGAACCCTCACCCTACGCCGCCCTACACCGACCACCCGCTCCTCCCGTCCGAGCAGTCTGACTTGCTCGACCGTGTGAGACGCGACTTGCTCGATGTCGACTTGAGCAGCATCAAGGGGCCGTTGAGGGCGCTTGCGCTGTCGGGCGACAGGGAGTCGACGCCTACGCCTGGTCTGCCGTCGTACGGCTCGCCCGTTCAGCAGCAGCCGCAGAACCTGCCGCAGCAAGTCACGCCCAAGTCTGCGCTCCTCCGCTCGCCGGCGCAGGAAGACGCACTCTCGGCTGGCACCGTCTCGCCGCAAGAAGCCTTCCTCGACTACAACGAGGTCGACTCGCGCTTGCACGATCCGTCCGATCCGCTGTTCAGCGGCGGAAGCGGGCGAAGTACCGAATTTGGAGTGGGCGTCGGAGGGAGCTTGTTTGCTCCGCTTCCGCAGGCGACTGCAGCGGCGATGGCGGGCACCGTATCGCCTACCCCGTCCTACCGCGCTCAAAGCCCGCACCTCGCCCCTCACGCGCCAGCGGCGACCTCCTCCCCTCTCGCGCGCGACCGCTCGTCCACCCCTCCCGCCGTCTCCTCACCGCGTCACGGCGCTCGACGCGGCCCGCACCCGTTCTCGGTCCCGCAGAACGCGGTGACTTGGGCCGAGCGACGATCTTTGTCAGGTCACCGGCTTGTCGGAGGCGTTGTGGACGGCGATGCGGATGACGACGACGGTGACTTTGGGACCGAGGGTGAGCCGTCGGCTGAGCAGATGGATCGAGACGAGGAAGAAGCGGAGAAGAGGAGGCTTGAGGCTGTCAGGAGGGAGAAGGGTCTTCAGGACGGGTTTGGGCGGTTCGAGAAGAGCGACGTGGATGTCGCCAAGCCTGAGGGGGTCGAAATGAGCGAGGAAGAGAAGTGGAGGTACGGCGTCAAGAGCGAGGTCAAGAATGAAGAGAACGAGGCGGGGTACCCGTCCGTCGCGGGCAAGGGTGTCTCGCGCCAGCCGGCTTCGTCGACGTTCGCACCTGCACTCCCGCCTCTCCCACAGCACCCGTCGTCCTCTTACCCCTCTTTCGCCGCCCCTCGTCCGTCATCTGCCTCGTCGACCGCGTCGTCCGTCGCCTCGGGCTTCTCGGCCTTCCAGCACGAGCTCGCCAAGCAGCGGCAAGGCTCGCACGGGTTCGCCCCTCCTGCCTCGGTCAACATCGGTGGCGACGGCGGCACGTCGACGCCTCGCCGAACCGCAGCGGCCAGTGCGTTGGCCGGCTTGAACGCCCTCGCTGGCCGATACGCCGCGCAGCAGGAGCAGCCCCGCGGACCTGTCGGCGCGGAAGAGTCGCCTGTCCGGCCGCAGCGCAAGCGCAAGCCGAGCCAGATGGCCAAGGCGGCGTACGGGCTCGTCTCGGACGAAGACGCGGAAGACGCGCCTGGCGAGCCGGGCGACTTGGCGTTGGCGACGCCTCCTGCGCCTGCTGCGTCGGCCACTCCGACCGTCTCGAGCGATGCGGACGGCGATGTCGAGGGCGAATCGGACGCGAGCTACCACTCGTCGCAGTCGTCCTATCAGGCTGCGCCCGCCCGGCGTCGCGGCACTCCATCCGGCTCTTCCGCACCGCCAAACAAGCGTCGACGCCGTAACCCCGCTACATCGACCCCTCGCAGCGGCGCAGGCGGCGGCGGAGGCAGCGGCTCGATCCGGTGCGACCACACCAACTCGGACGGCTCGACGTGCGGCGTCATCTTCCGCCGTCCGTACGACCTCGCGCGCCACAAGGAGACGATTCATGGAGAGGGACTGAAGGGGGAGAAGGTGCGCGTCAAGGAGTGGAAGTGCGAGCAGTGTGGTGGGACGTTCAGTCGCAAGGATGCGCTGCTCAGGCACGGGAGGATCAGGGGCCACAAGACTGGGCGATGAGGTGGGCTGACGCTATGCTGCTTCATGCAGGCGTGAACGGTCGCTGACGGCTCTCGTTTGGCAGCTTGGCCGTCTTCCCTCTCTGTCTCCGTCTCGCATCCTCTCGAGCATCAATACCCGGCCTCTCGCACACTACCCGCGCACGCCGTCATCATCCTCCTCACTCGCACTCCACTCTCCCCTTCGCTCCCCATCGATCGTCATCCTAGCCCCGTCCATTCGCTTTCCCTCACCCCTTCCTAATCTCCCTCACAACCTGTATCCACCCCAGCATCTCCCATCACCTACGTTCCCACGTACATACACATACACTCACGCCCCTTGTCCATGCGTATTCCGAATCTGTACCCTCCCTCCCTCTCGCATCTAGCACAACTCTCACGACTTTCAGTTTTCTTGTAGCCTCATTGTTTGCACGAAGTACTTCGCTTGCACCAGTGACTGCGGCGGTGCTCTCGAGAGAGAGGGGAAAACAGAGGACCAGGAGGAACGGTGCGACGGGAACGCAGAAAAGGGACGGACAACTCATCGGGCGATGGAGGAGGTACTGCTTGTTTCCGTTCTTTTCCAGTCGAAACACGAGGGGCTACATGTAACTAGACCTCCCGTACCCCGAACCGCGCCCGAGCGCACGCAACGCGCACGCCTACTCATGCTTCCTCCTCGGCGCCGTGATGGTCGACAACCCCAACCCGCCCACGACGATCCCCGCAAGCACGTACAGTCCCTGTTTCTCCTGCTCGTTCAGCGGGCGGTCCCTGCTGTCCTTCCCCTTCCCCTGCCCATGTCCTCCATCCGCACTCGAGGAAGTCTCCGAATCAGCCAACACATCTTCGCCCGTCACGTTCGAGATCGGTCCACCACCTGGCATAGTCGAGGGATGCGCGGCGGTGGAGATTGAGGGCATTGGGTTGGAGGGGAGCGAGTCCGAGTCCGGGGAGGAGGAGGAAGTGCGGTAGGTGTCGGGGGCGGTCGGCTGCGCGGGGAGGGATGTTAGTTCGGTGCAGGGCGTGCATGCTGGCCATGCGAGCGAGCGAAGCCTTCAAAAGCCTGCTATTTCTCGCAAGACCTTCCTCAGCAACCAGAACCGAACGGGACTCACCACCCTCCCAACCTCCTCTTCCGCCCTCAAACTCCCCCTCTCGACACGCTCCATATCAGGCATCTTGACCTGCCCCAACCCGCTTCCCTTCGTCGTGTCTTTGTCCTCGAACGCGGAGGGGGCGGCGAAGGGGAGGGAGTTGTGTGGGGGTGCGACGGGGAGGTCCGTGGAGGAGGGTTTGGGACCGGTTGCGTACGAGCGCAGGGAGGGAGTGAGCGAGCGACGCAGGACGGAGGAGCGGAGGGAGTGCATCGCGTGTGGGTTGTGGGGACGAGGGCGGCGAGAGTCGAGTGAGCGAGTGGGAGTCTTGAGTGGGTGCTGTGTAGGCTCGCGTGGGTGCTTTTGTAGCTCAGCGAGTTGTCAGGACAGCCTGCGAGCGAGTTGAGTGAGCGGGAGCAGAGCAAGAGCAGTGTCGACGAGGAGGAGGCTAATTACGTCATGACAAGCAGGTGGAGGGCTTGAGAGGAGGTCAACGACGGCTCTGCAAGGTGTCGCAAATCTACAGGACATCGAATGAACAAGCGGGCGAAAGGCGAAGAAGAGGCTGGGAAGGAGGAGGATAAGAGCGGGACGTCCGCAGCGTTCTGAGGCGCTCGTGAGCAGCCGTGACGTGTCAAAGACGCTGCGACGGGCGCGGGAGAGAAACGAACGAGCCGAAGGAGCGTGAGCGAGGCGAAAGAAGCAGTGAGCAGGGCAGCAAGCGACTCTCACAGCTGTACGGCGCCGTACGAATGCGAATCGAGTCGAGGCGTCAGATGGAGTCAGCGTCAAGGCCTTCGAAAGGCGAGGAGGCATCCAGGCGGAGAAGACGGAGGTAAGCAGAGCGGAAGAGTGGAAGGTCCACGCGAAAGAGCAAAGCGTCGCCACACAGCCGCCTCTCCTCCCCGGCTGCCCCCGAGCACCGTGGCTTCGAGTGTCGATGTTGCGTTGCGAAAGTCGAAAAGAGCGGTGTCCCGGGCGCCTCTCCCTCCCCTCGGCGCCCCTGCATAGTCGATACAACAAACTCCCCTCCCCTCCCGTCCTCTTCTCCGCGCCCGCCTAGACGTTGAGCCCGAGCTTCCTCATACAAGCCCGATGTTGCGCGACGATCTCGCGACACTTGTCTTGCGAGTCGGACGACGAGTCGGCGTTGGATCCGTGCAGGAGGAAGCAGTCGTCGCGGGCTTTTTTGGTCTCCGGGCAGGCGCAGCAGCTGCAGCGAGTCGTACAGAAGGTTGTTAGCGCTGGATGCGGCGGTCTGTGCAGAGGGAGATGGCGAGAGAGAGCAACCCAGTCCTCCTCGTCCGAACCTCCCGCCACACCCACTTCGCCCAGCCCATCCAAATCAGCGAGTATGCTCGGACTCACGGCTTGAGACCTTCTGGGTTCCTCGGGTTCAACTTTGGGTCCGCGGCTTCAGAGTTGGAGAGTGGTCTGCCGAGGGAGGGGTGGAGCGAGACGGGTCCTTCGGCGGGCACTGGGGCGGATTGGGGGGAGGAGGAGAAGGGCCACATCGTTGGTGGGAGATGGTCTCGTGCAGGAAGAGGGAGAAGAAGAGCGAGAGTGAGGGCGATGGCGAAAGACGAGCAGAGGGTTACCTCAGCAGCGACGAGGACAACCGCGGGGAGTAACGAGTGGACTGGCTGGTGAAACATACGATACTGTCACAAGTACAACAGTCCTTCTACGGAGTCACCCTGCCAAAGTCGCCAGCTCCTCCGCCTCATCGCTCGCTTCGCTTCATCACTTTCGCTCGCTCTGCTCTCCTGCTCGCTGTGCTCGACGTGGGACTGCTGTGTGACTAGCGCAGACCGCAATGTGAGCCGCTCTCCCCCGCTCAATGCCCCGCGCGCTGACATTCGCGTCCACCGCCAGGCATCCTCCAACACGACGACGAGCGGTCGCAGCAGCAGCGTTGGCGCTCGTGCTGGTCGCCGAGCCAACGTGGGCATCCGTGGGAGACCGCTCTCCAGCGTACCAGCGCTGCACGGCCGTCTGCCGCCAACAACTCTGCCGCGACGCTCCCTCGAAACCGTCTTCCGTCCCGCCAGACTCGCATCTCGCCCCGTTCTCTGCCTACTCGCCAAGTCTCTTGTGGCCATGCGAAGCGACGTGCTCCTACGCCTGCCAGCAGTACCTGACCGACCTCGCCCTCTCCCGCTCTCCCCGCCCTTCTCTGCGCGAGGCAGAACCAGGCGGCGCTCTCGAAGGCCTACCCATCGGCCACCAAGTTCAGTTCCACGGCAAGTGGCCCTTCCACAGACTCGACTTTTCCTCCCTCCCGCTCGTGCCCTTCTTTCCCTTGCGGCTGCTCGGCCTGTTCCTCCCGCGCCTACAAGAGCCCCTCTCAGTCTTCTTCTCCCTCGCCAACCTTTACGCACACTACCTCGGCCTCCAGTCCCTCCGCACGCTCCGCCGCCGCGGAAGGATGCAAGAAGGACGTCGCCTCGCGCGAGTGTACGAAGTCTACGCCTGGACCGGCCTGAACGCCTGGGTCTGGTCTGTCGTCTTCCACACGCGCGACGTGGACTGGACGGAAAGGGCGGATTATTTCGCTGCGGCGGCGACGATGGTCGCGGGTCTTTGGGTTGCGGTGGTGCGGATCCAGGGGTGGTATGCGTCCAGTTCGAAGGGCAAGACGTTGGCTCCTTCTCAGCGCCGCGCCGCACTCGCATGGACCGCCGCACTCGTCGCGCTTTTCCTCCTCCACTGCGCCTACCTCGGTCTGAGAGACCGCTTCGACTACACCTACAACATGCGCTTCAACATCCTCGTCGCCCTCTCAACCATCTTCCTCTGGGCCCTCTGGTCCCTCGCCCAATCGCGTCTCCCAACCCCATCCAACTTTTCCCGCCGCCAACTCTCCTCTTACCCCTCCGCCCGCTCGCGCTTCCGTGCACCTCACTACCTCTCCCCTCTCCCTCCTCTCCTCCTCCTTCCCGCCCTCACAGCACTCGAACTACTCGACTTCCCACCCGTAGGTCCGGCCGGACTGCGGTTACTCGACGCACATGCGCTCTGGCACGCAAGCACGGTACCCGTCGTCCGCATGTGGTACGCGTTTTTGGTGCGCGACGTGAGGTGGATTGATGGACAAGGAGAAGGAGGAGATCCCAACTCTCTTTTGCCGCGCGTTCCTGCTGCTGGTCGACGGGCGAGGGAAGGAGAAGCGGAGGGAGGAGCCAAGTGGGTGCTCGAGAAGGTTTTGAAGGAGGGACGGAGGATGACGGGGTTGGGAACCGGAGGGGGGTTGGGGATCTTTGGGGGTTTTGGGGCGGCGGGCGGGGAGTCTGTGTCGGGCGGCGCAGGGGAGGATAAGGGAGGAGACGGGGCGGAGGCGAGTACGGATGGGAGAAGGGACTAGTCCGCTGTGAAGCGGCGTGTGCAGGAGTGAAGTACATGCATGTTGTCGTTCTCACAGACACGTTTGAGCGTTGCTGGCGTCGTTCTCTGCGACGGGAGATGCGGGAGGAGAGTCGCTTGTTCCAGCTTGTCTCGCTCGTTTGGCTCCGTTCAAAGACGCAGTCCGGCCAACCAGGACACTGTGAACGCGCTTACATGCCCAGCTAGCCCCACGACGGCGTGTGAGGGCGACACTGGGTGCCGACACCGCCCCGCTCGAGCTTTGTCGCGGGTTGACCGTCCGCGCTTCATCTCGCTCGCTCTCTCGTCGCTCTGCTCGTGTTCTGTGCTGCTCAGTCGACTCTGACAACGCCACAGATACCACTCGTGCCCACCCGCGCTTCTTCCCGCCATGAGCGGCCACTCTCACAAGCCGCACCTCAAGCAGTCGAACAAGGCGTTCAAGTCGAAGCACGCGTCCAAGTCGACCCTGCGCGACCAGGCCAAAGGTCGCACGCATCGACCCAACACCAAGGATCCGGCGAGCAAGGCGGCCAAAGCCGCGAGTCAGAAGGTCCAGGCGAAGAACCTCAAGGTCAACCGGAGGAACCATGCCAAGCAGGTCGTCAAGAAGAAGCGCGACTTGCTCGAGGAACAGAAGGGGATCTTTCAGGGCAGGAACAGGAACGGCGAACGCGTGCAGAGGGTTGTCGCGGTTGTGCCGATGACGGAGGATGTTGGCGCTCTCGAGACGGCTGAGATGCTCGCGCAGGCGGTCGGCGGGGAGTTGACGGGCACAGAGGGCTTCAGGTCTCTCGAGTGAGTGTGGGCGAACACGTTCAGTCGATACAAGCTCACCTTGTCTCCTCGCAGCGTCCCAAAATTCCACAACCAGTCCCTCCGTTTCCTCCTCCTCCCGCCCGCCTCCCGCCCCGACGCACTCTTCCCCATCCTCGACGCAGCAGCCGCCGCAGATTTTGTCATCGTCACGCTTTCGAGCGAGCAGGAGGTCGACGCGCAGGGCGAGACGGCGTTGCGGTGTTTGACGGGTCTGGGTGTCGGAGGCGCGAATGGGGGAGTTGTCGGCGTCGTCAAGGTGCGGAGTGCGCTCTGGGTGAATCGACTTAAGACTAACGAGCACCGCCGCCCGCAGGACCTGCCCGGCGGAAACCCCACCCTCGCCTCCTCGACTCGTCTCTCCCTTCAATCCTTCCTGACGCACTTCTTCCCCTCAATCGACCGCATCCACTGCGTCTCCTCCACTCCCTCCTCCTCATCCGCCTCGACCTCCGCTTCAGCCATGTCGACCGACTCTTCCGCACCCTCGGCACCGACTCCTTCGTCTGAGGCGACGCTGATTGTACGCGGCTTGTGCGAGAAGACGCCCAAGGGATTGCGGTGGCGCGAGACTCGGCCGCGCGTGCTGGCTGAACGCGTGGCGTGGGAGAAGAATGCGCTGGTTGAGCCTTCTGCGCAAGAAGCGGAGGCGCCGAGCGGGTTCGAGGGCGAGGACCTGGGCACGTTGGCTGTCGAGGGTGTCGTCAGGGGCAGCAGGATGAGTGCGAACCGTCTGGTGCATTTGCAGGGGTGGGGCGACTTCAAGGTCGAGAAGATTGTCCTCGCGCCGCCTGCACGACCGATGAAGCGCTCTGCCGCCGCTCCTCCCGCCGAGACCATGTCCCTCGACGGCTCGGCGCCCTCCACTGCGCCCTTCGAGCCCATTTCGATGCCCGACGACGACGCCGACTCGCTCGCCTCGACCAACATCCCGGACGACGACGACTTTGGGCTCGACGAGCAGACCTGGCCTACGGAGGAAGAGATGGCTTCTGCGCCTGGTGCGGCGGCGAGAGACGCGATGGAGATGCCACCCCCCGCACGGCCGGGTACGACGCCCAAGTTGAAAAAGGTCGCGAAGGGGACGAGCGCGTATCAGGCGGCTTGGATTATTGATGATGAGGAGGACGACGGGGACCTTGAGGAAGAGGAGGACGAGGATGATGATGCGATGCGAGATGGTGGGGAGGGCGCGGAAGAAGAGGACGAGGTCGAAGAGACCGAGTTTGTCGATACCGCTGCGGATGAGACTGCCTCCGTCTCTGCTCGCCCGTTCGCCGACCTTTCGCCGGAGCAAGAACAAGCTCAGCTTGAGGAGTACCTCGCCTCGCGCGCCGCACGCCGCAACGTCGAGAACCGAGACGACCTCGACTTCCCCGACGAAGTCGACACGCCTCTGCACACGCCCGCAAGGGAACGGTTTGCCAGGTACCGCGGCCTGAAGAGCTTCAGAACTAGCAGATGGGACCCGTATGAGGAGCTGCCGAGGGAGTATGGGAGGTGCTTTATGCTCGAGGACTGGAAGGGTATGGGTCGGCGGCTGGAGAAGCGTGCGGCTGAGGAGGGCGTCGAGGTGCGTGCAGGACCCCGCTGTTCCTACGACTGCTCGACGTACTGACGCATTCTTGCGCAGCGTGGCACACGAGTGATCGTCTACCTCGCCAACGTCCCGCGGCGGCTCATCGAGCAGCACAACCCGATGAACCCGTTCACGCTCTTCGGCCTGCTCAAGCACGAGCACAAGTACTCGATCATGCACTTCAGCATCCAGCGCAACACGGAGAACTCGGACACGGTCCGCTCGAAGGACCCGCTCGTCCTCCAGCAGGGCTTCCGCCGCTTCGCCATCAACCCGATCTTCTCGCAGCACACGGTCCGCAATGGCGGGCGCGGCAGCAACAACGTGCACAAGTTTGAACGGTTCTTGCGACACGGCATCAACGCGTCGATCGGAACGGCGTACATGCCCATCACGTTCGGCAGCAACTCGCCTTCGCTCCTCCTTCGCGTCCCGACCACCTCGGCAGACGATGTGAACGCCTCGCCAGACCAGCACGTCCATCTCATCGGCACGGGCACGCTCCTCTCGTCCGACCCGACCCGCATCACCGCCAAGCGCGTGATCCTCACCGGCCACCCGTTCAAGGTCCACAAGAAGACGGCGACGATTCGCTACCTCTTCTTCAACCGCGACGACGTCGAGTACTTCAAGCCTGTCCAGCTTCGCACGAAGGGCGGGCGGATCGGACATATCCGCGAGCCGCTTGGCACGCACGGCTACTTCAAGGTGTGCAGCCGCCCTTACCCCTCTGATCGATGGCTTGCTGACGATCGTCCTCGCAGGCCGGATTCGACGGACCGATCTCGCAACTCGACACCGTCTGCCTCACGCTCTACAAGCGCTGCTTCCCCAAGTGGTCGCGCGTGTGGGACGGACAGCCGCTTCCCATCGTCGACAAGGACCAGGTCAGGGCGCAGGCGGCGGCGAAGGACCAGCATATCGAGGTCGAGTAGCGGGTTTGAGCGTGATGGAGGTTGTGTTGTATTTCTCTCGTTGCATTTCGCATCCCTTCGGTTCTGCGTAGTTCTCTCGCTCATTTGGCTTCTCTGAGACTGCTCTTCAAGCAGTGGCAAGCCGTACGAAGCGAGTCCTCGTCGTTCCGCTCGTCTCGAGGAGGGTCTCCCTTGAACGCTTCATCTTGCACGCTTCCACCACGACTACGCTGTTAGCTGCTGGCTCGAGACAGCTAGTCAAGGCCTTCTCGCCCGCCCTCCGCCTCTGGTCTGCCCGCCGACGCCCTTCCTCACCCTCTCCGACCATGTCCGCACCGCCTTCATCAACTTCCTCCCAGCGCTCTCTCCGCATCGCCGTGATAGGCTGCTCGCATGGCACGCTCGACGATATTTATGCTAGCGTCGAACGGTGCGACGAGGAGGCGCGCAAGAAGGGGGAGAAGGAGGTAGACTTGGTCATCTGCTGTGGGGACTTTCAGGTGCGTGTGACGCTTCAATAGGTTCAGCATGGCTCGCAATCAGCGGATGCGATGCTGATCGTTGTAGCTGTCTCCTTGCAGGCCATGCGCAACACGGCCGATCTGCAGACGATGGCCTGTCCCGTTAAGTACCGCGCACTCGGACACTTCCACCAATACTATTCGGGAGAGAAGAAGGCGCCGAAGCTCACGATCGTCATCGGAGGGAACCACGAGGCGAGCGGGTACATGTGGGAGCTGTGCGTCGCAGGTCTCCTCCATTCTCCCCTTGAAGTTGAAGGCTGACTTTGGTTCGCGCAGGTATCATGGCGGCTGGCTTGCACCGGACATCTACTTCCTCGGCTTTGCAGGAAGTCTGCTCGTCGATGGATGGCTGAGAATCGCAGGAGCAAGCGGGATCTGGAAGTCTGGCGACTGGAAGAAAGGTGCGCAGCGTTCTCGCGCTCACTCAGAATGACTGCAGGTGTGCGCTGCTTCGATGATACTAATCGACAGACCGATCACCGCTGTGTGCAGGTCACTTCGAGACGGTGCCGTTCGACGACCGCACCATCCGCTCGATCTACCACATTCGCGAGTACGACGTTGCGCGGCTGCTGCAGGTGCGTCCACTTAGTTTTCCTTCGCTCGCATCGCGCTGACAAGTTCATCTCATGCAGCTGAAGAACCGAGGATCCAGCATGGACGTCTTCCTCTCGCACGACTGGCCGCTCGGGATCGAGCAGCACGGCGATGTCGACTGGCTAATGCGCGAGAAGCCGTTCTTCCGCGACGAGGTGCGCCGATCAGCCCCTTCAATCTCGCTACCTTCTGCTAACGTTCCCTGCGCAGATCAACTCGAACTCGCTCGGCTCACCTCCTCTCCACGCCCTCCTCACTTCCCTCCAACCTCGCTACTGGTTCTCAGCCCACCTGCACGTCAATTTTGCGGCGCTCTTCCACCACGACGGCTCGAAGACGGTAGTGCAAAAGAGGGACAAGCGAGGATGGGGTGGTCAGCCTGCTGCGGTGGTCGCACAGGAGGGTCAGGAGGTTGCGAAGGCGGAGAATCCTGATGAGATCAAGATGTACGACGAGGAAGTCGGCGCGGGCGAGGGAGAGGCGGTCGTGTCGGAGGAGGGACCTGTGAGCGAGGAGAAGGGATGTCCGTCGGGGTGCGCGGCGCACGACGAGCCGACCTCCGCGACGGCGAACCCAGATGAGATCGCGCTCGATGACGAGGAGGAGCTCGACACGGCGCCAGTGGGCGAGAGCGATGTGACGGAGCAGCCTGAACGTGCGCAAGCGGCTCCAACGGCGCGGACGACCAAGTTCCTCGCGCTGAACAAGCCGGGTAAGAACAAGGACTTCCTGCAGGTGCGTCACTTCTTGACCGTCTCTGCCGAGGCGGCGAGCTGACCTCGTGGCGACTACAGATTCTCGAAATCGTCGAAGAATCCCCGTCCTCAACTACTCCTCCCGCTCCCTCGACTTCATCTGCGAACACCGACACTGCTACTGCTCCCTCGCCCTCCCGACCAAAAGTCTTCTTCGACCCCGCCTGGCTCGCCATCGTCCGGTCCACCGCGCCTTACCTCTCGCTCTCCCCTCGCCCGATCCCCTTCCCGCCTCTCGCCGAACTCGCGCAGACGATTGAGGCCGACGAGAAGTGGGTCAAGGAGAATGTCGGAAAGGACGGGTTGGTCGAGGTTGACGAGGTCATGGAGTTTGTGCGGACGGCGCCGACTCAGGAGGACTGGCAGAAGAACGGGATGATCCAGATGCGTGCGTGGCGTTCGCTTCTCTTCGTGATGCGTGCTCCTGTCGGCTGCTGCGCATCGCGTTGACAAGGCCGAGTGTACTGACTGGCATATCTCGCAGCTTCCTGGTACACCAACCCGCAGACGCTCGCCTTCACCTCACTCCTCCAGATCGAGAACCGCATCAACCCAATCCCCGAAGGCTACCTCGCCGCCCTCGAAGCAGACAAGAAGCGTGCGCTGGAAGAGGCCAAGGCTGAGGCGTTACGGGATATTGAGATGGCCGGCGAGCGGGTCGACGAGGAGCCTGTGGGCGAAAAGGCGAGCGAGGTGGCGGCCAAGGAGTCGAACGGAGACGCGGCGAACCCGGAGGAGATCGCCATCGACGAGGACGACGATTGAGGGGAGGGGAGGGCATTTCGGGATCCGCTTGTTGTTGTCATCCGCAAAGCATGCGCTGACAATCTCCTAGCAGAGCCGAGTCGTCTCACCTGTTTCACGTATGCGTTGCTCATTCTCGCCCTTCGTACCTCCCGCTTCTTTCCGCCATTCTCTCCGCAAGATCCACCCTTCCCTTGCCTTCTCGCCATGCTCGGCGGTTCTTCTCGAGCCAAGCGCAACAGAACTTGCGACTGGCGCAGCTTGGGGTGTGATGAACTCGCGCGAGACGCCTTCCTTCCCATCCGCTTGCCGGCCGTCTCGCCTTCCCCTCGTCTCCCGCGTCCTTGGCGCGCTATCTATTCTTGGCCGTTCGGACAGTGCGAGGATGGATGGAAAGGAGGCGCAAGGTCGGCTTCGGAGTTGCCGCGGACCCCTCTTCCTCCTCTCGCTCGCTCCTGCTCTTCTTCCTCTTCCACAGTCGCTTGATCTTGGCGTTTGAGCTATCCTTATCGTACCCATTGTCCAACAAATCGCTCGACTGCTTGTCATGAGTCCTTCGGTTCGTCCGCTGGCGCTGTTCTTCGAACCGGTGCTGACGATACACTTCTTGACTCCCAGCTCTCCGAATCCATGAGAGGTGCCGTAATGCGACGACCGGCCTCTGTTCTCACCAACAAGGTGGCCGCACCGGTGCACGATGTTGACCATCCCGGCGCCCTCTCAGTCGAGCGTGTGCGTCGACTTCGGTGTTCTCGTCAGCCAACAATGACTGACTCGTCGCTCTTCCCAGATCGACGACTGGCACGAAGACCTCGAGCGCGACGAGAAGTACAAGCTCGCACGGACGATCCTCTGCCGCACCAACATGAAGATCGTCTTGGAGTCGCGCCAGCAGAACATCCTCGACCAAATGCGTGCGTTGCGCCTTGCTTTCGAGGGCGAACTGCCGTCCTGACGCTTTCGCGGCAGTTTTCAACAACAAGATCGAGCCCGAGGGCGAGCCAGTCGCGAATCAGCTCGCTTCCGGTCGCTGGTCAGTCCGGCTCGCCTCGTACAAGTGGGGCAGATGCTGACAGTACTCCCTCCTCAGCTGGCTCTTCGCGCTCTGCAACGTCGTCCGCATCTTCACGTCGCGCAAGTTCAACCTCGGCGAGTTCCAACTTTCGCAGGTAAATCCTCTCTGTCTCCGCTCTCAACGCTCGGACACTCATCACGAACTCCTACAGAGCTATCTGTACTTCTACGACCACCTCTCAAAGGCGAACTGGTTCCTTGAGCAGATGATCGAGCTGTACCACGAGGACCTGAACTCGCGGACAATGCAGTTCTTGCTGACGAATGCGCCTGCGCAAGATGGCGGTGAGTAGTCCCCACTTCGCGTCGTCGTCCTCGGCTGACGACTCTCATGCGCAGGCCAATGGGACATGGCGGTCGCGCTCGTCCTCGAGTATGGCCTCGTCCCGCAGACCGTCTACCCCGAGAGCTGGAACACCTCGCACTCCGACGCGCTCGACGGCCTCCTCACCTCGAAGCTGCGTGAGATGGCGCTCGACTTGCAGGTCTTCATGCGGGACAAGGAGAAGGGGTTATCGCAGAGCGCGCTCGTGCGGGCGGCGAGGCAGGTCAAGGCCGGTATGGTGCGTCGCTTCCACGTATGTCGTCTACAGCTACGCGTCGCTAAGCCGCTTCGCCTTGCAGATGAAGGAGATCTACCGGATCTTGACGATCTGCTGCGGTACGCCGCCCAAGCCTGACCAGGAGGTGCATTCAAAGTCCGCGAGGACCTCAGATCTCTCCGCTTCTGGACGCTGACGAGGACCAATCAATCGCGCAGTTCACGTGGGAGTTCGCGGACAAGGACAAGAAGGCGCACAAGATTGTCACGACGCCGCGTGAATTCGCTCGCGTCCATGCCGGCTACAACGTCGGCAGCACCGTCTCCATCCTAAACGACCCGCGCAACCCGACGAAGCAGACCTACACGATCGAGCGGCTCGGGAATGTTGTCGGAGGCCGGCCGCTGCGATACCTTAACATGCCTATCGAGTTCCTCAAGAAAGTCGCTATCAAGATGATCCAGGTGCGCGAGGCGCCGGCAGAGGCCAGAGCAACGCTGACGAGTCGCTGTTGTAGAGCAACTTCCCCGTCTGGTTCGGCTGCGACGGTTCGTTCGCTTTCTCTCACTTCACCCATCCTTCGAGAGACTGACGGAAGCGCCCTCCACACAGTCGACAAGTCTTCGGACACGTTCAACGGCGTCATGGACATGCGGCTGTTCGAGTACGACGAGGCATTCGGCACGACCGTCAAGATGGACAAGAAGGAGCGGCTGATGATCTACGAGTCGTCCATGACACAGTGCGTCGTATCTATCGCTGTTCGACGTCGGAGCGGCAGTACTAACAGTCGCTCGCAGCGCCATGATGTTCACGGCCGTCCACCTCGACGACCACGGCAACCCCGTCCGCTGGCGCGTCGAGAACTCCTGGGTGCGATCCGCTTCTACTCGCTGCCTCCTCCGGCTCTTCGACAGCTGTGCCGCTCGCTGACTCACGCCGGCCGCTCGCAGGGCAAGGACGCATGCAACAAGGGCTTCCTCGTCATGACCGACGACTGGTTCAGCAACTACGTCTACCAGATCGTCGCGCCCCGCTCGTTCCTTTCGCACGAGCTCCTCGACATCTACGACGATGCACCCGTCACCGTCCTGCCGCCGTGGGACGTCCTCGGTACGTAGAGGCTCATTCTTTCGCTCTTCGACTTGGGCGCTGACGGTCTCTCGGCAGGTGCTTGCGCCTAGACTGATCTGTATCACCTTGCGCGTCTGTCTTTGGTAATCATCTCTCGCTCACGAGCTGGTCCAGCGGATCACTCTGTTCCGCTTCTCCGCTGCCGCGCTTGCTCTGCATCTCGTGCCGATGCCTTTGTTGCGACGTCGCGTCCGTCGAGCTCGCTCGGATTGGCTCGATTGTCGCTTCCAGGTTAGCGCAAAGTCCGCCGGAGTATCCTTGCGCGTGCGGAGGAGATGTGGGGGTCGTTGGCGAGCGAGCGACGAGGAGAGGATGGGTCGTTCCTCGTCTTTCTCGCTTTCCTATTCTCTGGCTAGCACCCTGTCGACATGAAGACGCAAGCCTACGTTCTCGCTGGTGCGTCCCATCACCTGTTCTCGCCAACTCTCGCCTCATCCCCACTTCGTCGTCTCGGTCGCAGAAAAGGACGCCCCGTTTAAGCTGCAAGAGGTCGAGGTGCGTCGTGGTCTCTCCTCCACGTCGCTGCTGTTCTGCTCACCGAGACTTTGGCTGTCCAGCTCGCAGAGCCGGAGGACAACGAAGTTCTCCTCAAGGTCGTAGCGTGCGGGTGCGTCCGAGCGGCTTCTCCGTTTTCCTGGTCGAAGAACTGACTCTATGCGATGCTGCAGTCTCTGCCATACTGATCTGTGCATTCAGAACGGTGCGTACCGCCGACCACCCTTCGACCTTCGCAGCGTCGATATACCTTCTTCGCCTCGCCTCATAGCTGATCGCTCGTTCTGCAGGCGCATTCCCCTCTCCCTTTCCCAATGTCACCGGCCACGAAGGCTCAGGCCGCGTCCTCAAGGTCGGCAAGGCCGTCACGCGCGTCCAGACCGGCGACAAGGTCCTCTGCTCCTTCAACCACTGCTCGTCGTGCGGGCCGTGCCAGACGGGTCATCCGGCGGCCTGCGAGAAGTTTGGCGAGATCAACTTTGGGCGGGTGAGGAGCGCGGAGACGGGTAACAAGGCGGGGATCAAGGGAGCAGCCGGCGAGGAGATGTGCGTCAACCCCTCTGTTTCCTCTTTCCGCGCTGTACGAGAGAGGAGCAGTGCTTCTCAGGTGTTGTGTGTGTGTAGAGCTGACCCGTTCGTCCATATTCGCACAGCTACGGTGCTTTCTTCGGCCAGTCGATGTTCGCGGAGCACGCTCTTGCCGCAGAAAACTCGGTCGTCAAGGTGCCCGACGACACCGACCTCGTCACGCTGTCCGCTCTCGGCTGCGGCTTCCAGACAGGCGCAGGCGGCGTGCTCAACTTCCTCAAGCCATCGAAGGACTCGTCGATTGCGATTTCTGGACTCGGAGCGGTCGGTATGGGCGCGCTTTTCGCCGCCAAGTACCTCGGAATCAAGACAATCGTCGCGCTCGACGTCGTCCCTGGCAAGCTCGACCTCGCGAAGCAGTTCGGCGCGACGCACGTTTTCAACGCGCGTGATTCGGACGTCGTCCAGCAGGTCAAGGCCATCACACCGTACAAGGGTGGCGTACAGTACTTTGTCGAGTGCTCGGGTAACGTGCCGGCGCTGAAGGCGGCGTGGGAAATGACGGCGAACCGAGGGCATCTCCTAAGGTGGGTCGCTCTCGCTCAGTCTGCGGTCTCTGGCGTCTGCTTCAGCATCATGTTGAAGAAGGGGATACTCGCGTCCCTCTGCTCCTGCAGCTGCGGCACACCTGGACCGGGTGTCAACCCTCCCTTCGATGTCTTCGGCAATCTCGTCGCTTGCAAGGTTCGCCCGCCGTCCTATGCCTCTTCCGCTTTTCCTCGAGACTCACGCCCGCTCGCTTTAATTCCTGTCGCAGACCTACAGCGGCCTCTGCGAAGGCGACTCGAACCCGCCCGACTTCATCCCGTTCCTCATCAAGCTCTACAATGAGGGCCACTTCCCCGTCGACAAGATCAGCAAGACTTTCGCACACGACAAGCTCGACGACGCGATTCATGCGATGCACAAGGGGGAGACGATCAAGCCTATCATTGTCTTTGGTAAGGCTTGAACGGAGGGAAGTTGCAGGAGCTCGAAGGTGGGATCGCGCTCGTCGAGTTCTCATTAGCTCCCTCGCGCGGTAGGTGTCGTCACAGGGAGGAGATATGTCCATACAGAACGAACTACGTCAGTCCGTCGCCTTCCTCGACCGGTCAACCACTTTCGAGAGAAGAAAATCACTTCCGCTTCTCCCTACTTGAACTTCTGATGATCGCACTTCTCGTCAGCACTAGCAGCGTCATTAGGGCCCATCTCAAGCTCTTACAAAGCGAAGGAACCGCGACATGGCCGTCTTGAGGACCCGGACACCGCCTCGCTCACCTCTTTCGCTCCGCCTGCTCATGCTCACACCGCAAAATGCTTCGACGATCGACGCGATCCCTTCCCTGACCGAGTTTGATTGCTCCTACGCCCACTTCCGCCAGCACCATCTCCTCCCGAACGAGCCCTGCCTCATCTCACCTTCTCTCGTCGACGACTGGCAGATCAAGCGGAGGGTCACTCGAGCGGACGGCGCGCTCGACTGGGACTATCTGAAGGAGAACTTTGGGCTATACGCGGCTGTCTGCGTGGACTGCGAAGGCCGAAGCGAGTGTGGAGATGGCGACGAAGTGGAAGTCAGGACGTTTGGCGACTTGCTCGAGCTGTGGGAGCAGGGCAGAGGGCGGACAAAGTACCTCAAAGATTGGCACCTACCTTTGCTCGTCTACCATGAGGTGGAGCGGCTGGAGAAGGGTAAGGGAAAGGAGCGAGTGCGCGAGGAACTGTACGAGGTGCCGCAGCTTTGGCTCGATGACTGGATGAACGAGTGGGAAGGGAGCGAGGGCGACGATGACTTTCGATTCGTGGTGCGTGCACGCTTCCGCAGTAGAAGCGCGGAGGAGGAATTGACGGATTTGCTTGCAGTACGCTGGAGGAGGCGATACTTTCACGCCCTTGCACCGCGACGTCTGTGCGTGCGCTCCTCAACAAACCTTGCAAATGTGCTAACGCCTACTCTCGCAGACTGCTCCTACTCAATCAGCACCCAACTCTACGGCCGCAAGCGATGGTACCTCTTTCCGCCGTCCTGCACACCGTACCTTCGCCCTCTCGTCGCCAAAGCCGAGCGGAACGACACGAGTGTCAATTGCGACGAGTGGAATGAGGAGCGGAAGAAGGAGTTCCGCGGGCGCGGGATGCTGGTCGTCGAGCAGAAGGAGGGAGAGTCGATCTTCATGTGCGTGCGCTCTCCTCCGCTGGTAGAGGTTTGTCTGACCAACTCGGCGTTGCAGTCCATCCGGCTACTACCACTCTGTCCACAACCTGACCCACCCGACCCTCTCGCTCAACCACAACTGGCTCAACTCGCACAACCTTCCCGCCGTGTACCGCTCGCTGTTGGACGAGGTCGAGCGATGCCGAGTTGCGATCGAGGATGTGAGGGAGATGTTGATTGAGCAGGCGAGGAGGAGGGGAGAAGGAGAGGAGGGGTGGAGGGAGGAGTGGGAGAAGGCGGTGGATGAGCTGGTCGAGCGGAGTGAGGGGTGGAGGTGCGATTGCCCCGCGCCTCGGCCCAATGCAAGCTTGCTGATCCGTCACAACCCGTAGTTGGCCCAAGTTCTGGCGCATGACGCTCAACACGCTGCGCAACCTCGAAGTTCCGCTCACCATCCTCCAAACACGCGCCGCCTCATCGCGCTGGCCGCTAATCCCGCCCGATGCTCGTCCTCCTACCTCCTTCGTACTCGACCAGGTGCGTCTGACGTTCTTTGACCAGTCATCGAGCACCAGAGCTCATCTCGCACCCAACGCAGGTCCGCCCGCTCGTCCTCGACTTTCGACAAAACCACGAGGCAGAGTGGCGGTGGCTACCGGGGCTGGAGAAGGTTCTGGAGGGCGTCGAGAACGAGCTACAAAGGTTGGAAGGTGTCCTGGGAGTGGTGAAGACGAGCGACGGTGGGCACGGAGCTGGTTCAGCGAGCATCAACAGCATGTAGGGCGTGGGCGCCGGTCGCTCCCGCATTATGCATTCTAGACCATGTCCAGCGCGATCTTTGAGCCTCCAGTGAGGCCGGGAATGCGGTCATCGCTCAAGGTGAGCGTTTCGAGGAGAAGGTGGGTGCAGCGCAGCGAGGACAGCGCGAGAGGGGTCGCCGAGCAGTACGCGGCATCCACGCGATCACTGCTAGCACAGCGAGCACTCCAACAGCCCCACCGCGCGGTGTCGCCTGCGAGTCAAGATCCAACCCTCCTCCTGGCCGTGCTTTCCCTTGCTCGCCTCGCTTTGAACGCTTCTACGCTCGACTGGCTGAGCGAATTCGACGCTAGACGCCCTCACGACGGCTGCTCACTTCGCCCGCGCCTTTGTACGCGCCCCGCTCGCCGCTCGCCCGTTCATCTCCCCTTCCCTCGCTCGCTCAACTCGCCCGGCCTTGCAACCCTCCCGTTGGACAGTCTCGCCCGCCAGAACCCTCTTCACTTCCACCAAAGTCATGACGACCCTCCCGCCGTTCCCCCTCCCCGCGACGCCGTCCATCCCGGACGAGCACCTCGCCTCGACCCCCGCACTCGACCTCTTCAAGCTCGCAGCGGCCGAGTTCATCCACTCTGTCCTCCCCGAGGTTGATGTCGAGAAGGCGTTCGAGGGGGTCGAGTCGGGAAAGACGGGGAAGAACGTCCAGGGCGATTTCACGGTTGCGGTTCCGCGGTTCAGGCTCAAGGCCAAGCCTAACGAGGTCGCAGAGAAGCTCGCCGCTGCGGTGAGTGGATCAAATTTATGGCCTGTTGGTCTCGAGCAGTCGGCGGGACGCCTGGGTCGAGTGCGCAAGGAGGATTCGGCGGATCAGGATCGAATGCTGGAGACGGCTGCTCCGTTTGCCGCAAGCAGGTTCTTCGTAAGACCACTAGCTGACGCCTCTCGTGTCGCCCGCAGTTCAAGCCGACCCCCTACCTCGCTTCCGTCAGCGCCAACGGCGCCTTCGTCTTCTTCAACTGCCAAGTCAACGCCCTCGCCTCCCTCGTCCTCAACCAGGTCAACACTCAGACCTACCTCACCCCCGACGAAGACCACTCCGCCCTCTCGACCTTCGCCAACCTCTCCCTCTCCGACTCGGGCGCCGACAAGCCCCCAGCGGGCCTCAAGCTGCTGAAGAAGAACGGCTACGGCACGAACCAGAGCGGAAAGGGGAAGAACATCATCGTCGAGTTCTCGTCGCCTAATATCGCCAAGCCTTTCCACGCCGGTCATCTTCGCTCGACCATCATCGGCGCCTTCCTCGCCAATCTGTACGAGGCGAACGGCTACAACGTCTTGCGCATGAACTACCTCGGAGACTGGGGCAAGCAGTTTGGTGCGCCCTCGTTCGGCTCTGTCCTGTCCTCACCCCGCTGACTTGGGTCCTCGCCCGCAGGTATCCTCGCTGTGGGCTTTGAGCGCTACGGTTCGGAGGAGGAGCTCGAGAAGGACGCCATCACGCACTTGTACGACGTCTACGTCAAGATCAACAAGGACGGCGAGACAGACGAGTCGATCCACGACCGGGCGCGCGAGTTTTTCGTCAAGATGGAGGCGGGTGCGTCGCCACCTGAGTTCTGCTGCAGGAACACGGCTGATCGTCCTCATCATCGGTCTCGCAGGCGACGAGGAGGCGGTCGCGCTGTGGAAGAAGTTCCGCGACCTGTCGATCGTCAAGTACAAGGAGACGTACGCTCGGCTCAACATCTACTTCGACCTGTACTCGGGCGAGTCTCAGGTCTCTCAAAAGGCGCAGACCGACGCGCTCGAAGCACTGCAGAAGTCCGGCATCGTCGAGGAGTCGCAGGGCGCGCTTATCGTCGACTTGCGCAAGTACAAGCTCGAGAAGACGGTCGTGAGGAAGAAGGACGGCACGAGCGTGTACATCACTCGTGACATCGGTGGGGCGGTCGAGCGGTACGAGAAGTACAAGTTTGACAAGATGGTCTACGTCGTCGCGAGTCAGCAGGACCTCCATCTCGCGCAGGTTCGTCCGCTTGTCCTCGCTTGGGCTTTTCTCGTTCCCGAGGAGCTTGCGCTGATTCTTCAAGGCGTCCGCGCGCAGTTCTTCAAGGTGCTCGACCTGATGGGCTACGACTGGGCCAAGACGCTCCAGCACGTCAACTTTGGCATGGTGCTCGGCATGTCGACGCGCAAGGGCACCGCCGTCTTCCTCGAGCAGATCCTCGACGAGTCGAAGCGCGTCATGCACGACGTCATGCGCAAGAACGAGGACAAGTATGCCGCGATCGAGGACCCCGAGTACACGAGTGACAAGCTGGGCATCACGGCCGTCAAGGTGCAGGACATGTCGGGCAAGCGGTGCGTGTGCTGACGTTCTCTCGATCGGATGCTTTGTCGCTGACCATTGCGAGCACCGTGCAGGATCAACAACTACGAGTTCAAGTGGGAGCGCATGACTTCGTTCGAGGGCGACACGGGTGAGTACTCGCTCCTGACCCTTGCGCAGGCTGAATTCCTCCTCTGCGCATGCTCTTGGCGGGCGAATGCTGACATTGGCACCTCTGACAGGCCCTTACCTGCAGTACGCGCACGTCCGGCTGTCGTCGGTCGAGCGCAAGAACGCGCCCGACGTCGTCCTCCCGCCTCCCGCCGAGCGGCCGTCGACGATCGACACGTCCCTCCTGACCGAGCCCAAGGCGCGCGAGATCCTCCTCCTGCTCGGACAGTACCCGGACGTCGTGCGCGCGGCGCTCAAATCGCTCGAGCCGTCGACGATCTGCACGTTCGCGTTCCGCCTGTCGCACTTGATCTCGTCGGCGTGGGAGACGCTCATCGTCAAGGGCCAGCCGCGCGACGTCGCGCTCGCCCGGCTGTGGCTCTACGTCTCGGCAAAGGACGTCCTCGGCAGCGCCATGCGCCTCCTCACCCTCGAGCCCCTCGAGCGCATGTAGATGCGGCGTGTACTGTGCATGTTAATCCTAGACGCCGGCTCAGCGGTACTCTTGCGGTACGTTGTGGGTGCGGACGAGTCGCCGCGGGTTCCGACGAGGAGAGAGTCGGGAGAGGCAGGAGGAGGGCGGCGTCTCTCGCTTCGTCGCTCTTTCGCTTGCGGTGTCTCGAGTCGTCGTTTTCAATCGATCTGCTGTCGTTGCAAGCGCATCCGCCACCAATCCGAGCGAGTTGCGGTCGAGCCTTCCGACCCCTCCGACCCTCTCGCTCTTTCTCTTCCTCTCTTTCCACTCGACTTCACTCTTTCGACACAGCTGCGCAACATGGTCCTCCGCCACCTCGACCTCGCCATTCGCCCTGCCTTGCGCGCCGCCTCGACGACCGCGTCCCGCCCGCGCCTGCCGCCCTTCGAAGGAATCGCCTTCGCCGCGCCTCCCTCGCCATCAGTCGCAGGCCAGCTCGCGCAGGTCTACCTCCCCGACATGCACCGCATCGAGCACGCTGAGCCCGCCCCCGTCCTCATCGTGAGTCGCCGTTAGATTGTTGTTGAGTCTCGGGAAGCGGGGTTGGGAAGGGGGCTTGCTGGGCTCGCTCGACTCGCTGGCTGCATCGGTGTGGCTTCAGACGGTGCTATACGGGGATGTGGGACTATCTGCGGGTGCACACGCTGCGCTGGGCGACGTTGGCGGCGTGCGAGGAATGCCGGCACCACTTGGGGACCCCGGACAACGAGTGTTGGGCGAGTCGTTATCGCCAGCGGGGTTCGCATAGCGTCGTACGATCCCTGAACGTCGTCGTGCTGTCGTTGGGGATGCGCTCGTACCGCCGCAAAGTCGCCGCGTCGGGATGGCCGACCCTCTCTCCCTTCGTCCTCGGCCAACGCAACGCACGCTCATCCGCACACTGACTGACGTCGCTGCGTACCGCGACAGCCCGCTCTCCCAGACACGTACACGTCGCCCGCACAGTCGAGGAGCAAGTACCCGCAGCTCCAGCCGAGGACCGTCACCTTCCAGACCGTCGCGAGCGAGTCGACCCACCTCGGCGGCGGACCCAGCAGCACGGCCACCGCCGCCCAGTAGGCGTCCAGCCAGCGGTGCGTGCACTCTCCTTCTTTGCCGAGGACCACAAGCTGACCCGCCTCGCCTCGCAGGACAGCCCAACACAGACACTTTTCCCCTCGCTCTCCCGTTTCTCCCGCCTCGAGTCGTCCCAAGGAAGTCGTACACCCGTTCCGTGCCCCTGTAGACCTGTTTCCACACTTACAAGACTGTTCCCCGACGTAATGCGCTCGTTTCCTTCGTGTCCCCCTTTGTCCTGCGTCGTTTGTCGCCGCACGATCCCTTTAACACTTCTCTCGCTCCGCCTCCTCGCGGTGAATGGCCCTCCCATTGCTTTCGAGACCTACACACGCTCGTTCGCGCTCTACTCCACTCGGCCTCACGCTCGCCGCGCTCGTCTGCCTGCTCACACTCGTCTTCATCGCATCCCGGGGCGCAAAGGCCTCTCCAACACTTCACGCGTCGCAGGACGATGCAGGGCGAATAGGGTGGTTAGAGAAGCGTGGAGGGAGTCCATGGAGCGTGGGAGATGGGCTGGCGAAGAGGCAGGAGAGCGGGGATGGAGGGGGAGGGGAGGTGGAGATGGGCAGGAAGGGTGAGTCGCTTTCGTTCTTGAGGCACGCGGTACGAGCGAGCGGGTGCTGTGGATGCTGAGAGTGCAGCGGCAGTCTGAAAGGACGGACGGACGGGACGAGGAGGGGCGAAGACAGCGGACCGGATGAAGCTGATCTCTCACGCCGAGCGACAGAGTTCGTCCTCAAGCTCGTCTTTTCCGTCGTCTTTGTGTTGCTGGGAGGCGTCTTCTCGGGCCTGAGTCTCGGGCTCATGGGTGCGGGCCGTTCCTCCGCAAGTCTCGCGGCAAAGGGAGCTGATCTCGCTTGTCTTCCGCAGGCTTGGACTCGATGAACCTTCAAGGCGAGACTTTTCGGCACAATTCGCCCCTCACCAGCTGACTCTGAGTGCGCCCGCAGTCCTCGCCGCCTCCGGCCCGCCTCAAGACCGCATCGACGCGCAAAGAGTCCTCTCCCTCCTCTCGCACGGCAGACACTTCGTCCTCGTCTGCCTGCTCCTCTCAAACGTGATCGTCAACGAGACCCTCCGTGCGCTCCTCCTTCCCACCTTTCTCCTCCTGCCCCGACTGATGCGGGTTCGTGCGCCAGCCGTCTTCCTCGACTCGCTCATCGGCGGCGGAGGACTCGCAGCGATCGTAATCTCTAGTGCGGCGATTGTCATCTTTGGCGAGGTTTTGCCGCAGGCGCTGTGTGCGCAGTATGGGCTGAGAGTGGGCGCGAAGTGTGTTGGTTTCGTGCAAGTGTTGGTAAGTCTGCCTTGCCAGCTTCCTGGCGTCTCCCGAGGGCTTGCGAGTTCCTCCACGCGTCTGCTGAGCTGTGGCCGGCGCAAGACTCACTAAATCCACCATACCCGCGTCCAGATGTACCTCGAATCCCCCATCTGCTACCCCACCGCCAAACTCCTCGACTGGCTCCTCGGCTCGCACACGACCCACCTCTACCGCCGAGAAGAACTCAAGACGCTCGTGCACCTCCACGGGGAGGGGAAAGTGCTTGGAGGGGAGGAGGGGGAGTTGGTGGAGGGTGTGCTAGGGCTGGCGGAGAGAGCGGTGGGAGAGGTGGGCAGGAGAGTCAGGGAGGTATATGCGGTGAGCGATGGATTGCGGATTTGCGATGTGGATCTGATGCAGGTGCGTCGCGGGCGGAGGATCAATTCGCTTGCTGATCGGCCGTTCGCGCTGACTGCCTCGATCGAACTCGTTGGCGTCTTCGCACAGCTCCTCCTCCGGCGACAGCACTTCTTACCCGTCCGAAGAGCGAAGACGGCGTTCGGCGCGATCGATGAGAAGAAGGACGAACCGTTCGTTGGCTATCTGCGAGTCGAGGAGGTGCGTCCGCTTTCGCACGTCTTTCTCGCCTAGCCTCTAACATTGCTCGGGCTTGAACAGCTGATAGAAGCGCAAAGTCGGCCGAATGAGTCCGCTTGGCCTCGTCGTTCCCTGCGTCTCGCGGCTCGGCTGACCTTCCCAACCTCCAGCCTCGTCCGCTCGCTCGCTCTGCATCCGCTCGTACATGTCTTCCCGAATACGCCAATTATAGACTGTATCGCTTATGTGCGCTGAGCGCACGCTTTGACTGTCCGTAAGGCGATATTGACGAGTTCTCCGTTCGCAGCTGAAGAGGGAGGACCCGGAGGCGGTTTTGCTGGTCTCGAATGTGCGTCCGCCGCTTCCTTTAGGGCACGCGGGATTAACGAGCTCATTCCGCAGTCGGCTATCGACGGCGCAGATGCGCTTGGCTTCGCTGTCCTCGACGACTTGCTCAAGGCGATCCTGCACGACGAGCCGGATAAGGTGCGCGCCTAGCCTCATCGGTTTCAAGATTGTATGCTCACTCGATCCATCGCAGGCTCACTCTCGCACCGTCTCACTCGGAGCGACCGCGCGCTCGGCTCTCTCGCGTCCTCCTCGCGCTTCCGCCTCCATCGGCCTGAGTCGCTTCGTCTCTGGTGCGCGCCATCGCTCTCGGATTCATCGGGGACACGCTGACACCCGTTACACACAGGCATCGTCGACCGGCACTTCACCCACCGCGCCTCGTCCTCGCAACTCTCCTTCCGCCTCGACTCGTCCGACGAAGAATCCCACCTCTTCAGCCGCTCTCGCACCTCGACCGCCTCGTACCGACCGCTCGCCTCGTCGCCGCACTCGCATCATCGCACGATGTCGTCCCTCTCGCGCTTCTCGGTCGTGCCAACGCCAGCTGGAACCGCGCCGGCGAGGAAGACGGGATGGGACGGGCGAGGCGGCGGGTTCAAGTTCCCGACGCCTGACGGGTCGCCCGTGGGAGAGGAGGTGGAAACGTTTGCGCTGGGCGACGTGGACGACGAGGAGGGGCGGGAGGATTCCGGGTTTGGGGATGGGGATGAGCTGAGTGGGAAGGGCGGGCTGTATCCGCTCGGTATAGCGGGCGCACGATAGCGGCACGCGCAAAACCATTGACAACAGCCTAAGCGTACTCGCGGATTCGGCCGTCGCGCAGAGTGCGAGAGAGATGTGAGAGAGCGAGGTGCCCGTCTGCCCGTAAGCTACACTAACTGGTCTCATTGAGTGTGTCGGTTGCTCGCTACAACCCAGCGAATCCACCGCTCCCGCCCAAACCGCCGCCGTCGAGTCCCAGCTCGCGCATCAGCGCCATCATCTGTTCGTTCATCGCTCCTCCGCCCGCGCCGAATGCGTTCACTGCCGGCGTCTCGTACGGCATAGGCGAGCCGTCGTCATCGCCCATTGTCAGTGACATCCCGTTGATACCCAACAGTCCCGCGTACTGCTCGAGCCCTGCCGCTCCGCTGTTCTCGAGCCGGTCCAGCGCAAACTCGACCAAGTCCGACCCGCTCTGCAGCTTCGGAAGCGACTGTTTCGCGCGTCGCCAATGTGCGAGCGTGAAGTAGATCAGGAGCTGGCGGAAGGGCTGGTTGAGGAGGACGAGCGGGTTCGCGCCGGGTCGTCGGAGCTGAGGCGAGTGGTTCATCATCTGGATGCTGTCGAAGCTGATCCAGTGTATGTAGGCGACGTCGGTCCAGGGTGTCGGGGTTACGGAGGGCGAGACCGAGCGGGTTTGGAGGTCGCGCAGGAGGAAGTGCAGCTCGAGGAGGCGGAGTGAGCGGCGGGGTTCAGGTACGGGGCAGTCAACGCGTGCGAGGTCGTCGATAAAGCTCTGCGCGGGGCGGTACAGTGCGCGTGTGACGCACCGTCAGCGTTTTTGGTCCGGGGTGTGAACTGGGAAAGACGCGCGACACGTCGTACTTTCCGCTCTGCCAGCCGTCCCGCTCTCTCAGCTTGATTCGCTTCATAGCCGTCTTGACAATGGGATTCGAATCGCCTACAAGCTGCTTGAGCGTTGCAGCCTCGTCCGTCGTCAAGGCAGGGAAGGTGAACATGTCGGGCGAGTTCTTGCAGAGCCACTTGTGCGTCGACCAAATCTATCGGCGCGGGTGGTCAGTTCTCAAGCTTCGGTCTCATCAGCTCGAGCGGCTGATGGGGACGCACGGCAGCCTGGCAGCTGCGGTCGCAAAAGTAGACGACCCGGCAGCCACCGCAGGTCGTCTTCGTCTTCCGGTCGCACACGGAACATGGGTGTTCGGCTTGGGTGCTCATGTTGTTGTCCGTCCACCGCAAGAGGGCTGAGAGAGGCGTCGAGGCGAGTCGAGGCGAAAGTTGGGCGAGGGGTGCGAAGCGGACGTCGAGGGCGACGGGCGGGGCGGCGGCGGGGTGTAGAGGCTCGGAAGAGGATTTGCGCAAGCTCCACGTCTCTGCAGCCAGTCAAGCCGAGTCGAGCGCGATGGAGGAGACCAGCGTCCTCCTCGAGAGGGTTGCCCCGGTGTCGCTCGCCTCGTCGCCGATTGCTGGCGTGTGTGGCCATTCGCTTTACTTCTGACGACTTTAACGACACACCTGCTCACCCCTTGACGCCCCGCCGCCTTTCCTCGCTGATCTTGCGCCTTCCCGCCGCCTCCGCTCGCTCAACACGGCCAAACAGCGTCGGTAGCCTCGACACGACCACGGGAGGGACTGAAGTGGCGCTGACGGGCTTACTGTGAGTCGCTTAGTCTCTTGAGCCCGTGTACGAGCCTGCCGAGCGGGGCGATAGCGCGCAAGATCCTCATCTCTGGAGCGAGCCGATGAAGCGACTAGCGGAACGAGGGACGCCGTTGGAGCGCAGAGGAGACTCCTAGCCTGTCACACTCGCTCCGAATATGTCGCCACGCCCGCTTCTTCCGCCCTCGGCGCTGACTTCGCTCTCTCGCTCCGCGCAGCCCAGCCATCATCTGGCTTGGCATATCGTCAGCTTTTCCCGCCCGCCGACAAAGCGCACACGCACGAGTACACCCATCCGATCCGCCTTCGAACCGCTATCCCGCCTTTCCGCCTCCGTTCCCTTCGACTTCCCCCACTTGGCGTCGGAAGTCCAGACGGAGTATCCGCTCGCACGTTCAGCAGGTTCGTCGCCGTCTCCCCTCTCTTGGACGGGCGTGGGTGGGACTGTTGAAGTCGAGGCGCCGGAGTGAGAGCGCGGGAATGGGATTCGTCGGCTAACCTCGTCTCTTACCTCCCGCAGAATCATCGTCCGCGTCTTCCCTTCCTTGATCCATTGTCATGACCTCGCTGCAAACGCACACGAAACCCTCACTCCACCTCTCGCTCACTCCCGATTCTGGCGGCCCTTCTCACGCATCCACCTCGACTCCCTCGTCTTCCTCTCGCCGCGTCCCGTCATGGGGCTCGGGCGCATCCGACACCTTCTCCCGCCTCTCAGCCATGGGGGACCGCAGCCTCGACCCGCTCCCTTCGCCGCTCGAATCGCGCGAGTGGGGATTCCTGCCCGAGTCCTCGCTCGGTGCGGGTGCGGGGAGTTCCGCTCGGTTAGGCGGGACAGGCGGGAGCTGGCTCGATGGATGGGGCGGGTCGATCGGTACGAGCGGGGCGAAGGGCGAGGCGAGGGAGGCGGCGACTTCAGGCGGGTCCTGGATGAGCGGCGGCGCGAGTGCAGGCGGCGGATCTTGGATGAGCAGCGGACCGAGCGAGTTTGGCGCTTTCCCGTCCGTGTCGACGCCAACCGAGGAGAAGGGCGACGGCCGAGAAGCGCCAAAACGGAACAAGACGCTCTCGTTCTTCGACACCGGCTCGGAAGACTCGTCGCGCGCCCTCTCGCCTCCGCCCAATCCTCCGTCTCGGCAGAACTCGCTGAGCAGTGGACACCGCCGCGGTCCGTCGTCGTCCTCTGCGCCTCCACCTTCGCCCGGCTGGGAATCGCTTTACCAGCCTGTGCTCGACCCGCTGCGAAGCTCGGTCGCGAGCAGCACGAGCAGCTGGTTAGACGAGGCGTCGGGTGACGGGACGAGCGTGCCGTGGACACGAGGGCGAGGGGGTTCGATCGGCAGCACAGCGGGTGCGAGGAGTGCGGTCGACGGGATGCAGACCCCGAGGAACGAGTCGCCTCGTCGGATGGAGAACGAGGAGCTGTCGCCCGTCGCCGCACTACGACCTCGCCTCGCGGCGCTCGACACCTCGTCTATGCAGCCCGGCTTCGGCTCGCCCTCGCCCGTCAACTTTCCCTCGAAGCCGTTGTCTTCGCTTCCGACCGCCGTCGATGCCCCTCGTTCTCGCTTTTACGACCTTACGACCGCCCCTTCCTCTGTCGCCTCGTCCTCTCGCTCTTCTTCGCGCCGCCAGTTTGTCTCACTGGACGAGCAACCCTCGCCTGCCGCCTCGCCTCCTCGCTCATCACGGTCAAGCGGCGAGACGCCTCGATCGCCCTCTCGACAGTCGCAGCAGCAGCCGGACGAAGTCGACTCGTCTCCCGCCGTTCAGGTTGGCGACCGATTAGGCGACTACGTGATCGACCGCCTGCTCGGCAAAGGCGCCTTCTCGCGTGTCGCACTCGCACGGATGAGCAAGGGCAAGGAGCGCGCGAGGGGCCATGCACGGACGGCATCGAGGGATGCGGGAGCGGACGGAGGGCTCGTCGCGCTCAAGATGATCGGGAAGAAGGGGTGCGAATCGAACGAGCGGATGCGGATATCGGTCATGCGTGAGGTCGAGGTTCTGAAGGTACGTGCCGTCTGTGCCGCTTCGAGCGTGGTGAAGCTGACCGGTTTTCTCCTGCGCAGAACGTCCTCCATCCTTCGCTCGTCTCGCTCTTCACCTCGTTCTCGACGCCGCAGTACACCGTCCTCGTCCTCGAGTACTGTGCCGGCGGCGAGCTGTTCGACTTTATCGCCGACTGGCACCACGAGATGACGGACGGGCTCGCCAAGCGGATCTTTGGCGAGCTGTGCTCGGCCGTCGGATGGATGCACGAGATCGGCCTCGTGCATCGGGACATCAAGCTCGAGAGTGCGCGCGCCTGCTTTTCACGTCAGTTGCAGCTCGCTGATGCTCGCCGCTCGCGCAGACATCCTCCTCACCTGCCGACCTTTCCCCTGCCCCGATTCCTCGTCCCTGCTCTCCTCGCTTCCGACACCGCTCGTCAAGCTCACCGACTTTGGCCTCTCGCGCTTCATTAACCCCGCCTCGCCTCTCCTCTCGACTCGCTGCGGATCGGAAGAATACGCCGCGCCGGAGCTGATCATGGGCAAGCGGTACGACGGGCGCAAGACGGACGCCTGGGCGCTCGGTGTCGTCCTCTACGCGCTCATCACGGGTGTCATGCCGTTCGTGCAGGGCTCGGGCGGGCGGCGAGGGTACTTGCTCAAGATCGCAAAGGCGGACTGGCGGTGGCCCGGACTTGCGCGGTCCCTGTCCGTCTCGTCCGTCCCGCCAGAGCCGCGCGTGCTCAACTCGTCGCCCCAGCCCGCCTCGTCCGCTCCCCTCTCCCGCCACGCTTCCATCTCTTCGTCCGCCGCACCTTCACCTCCCTCACTCACTCCCTCGACGCCCGCCTCTTCCTCCGCTTCTTCCCGGCTCGTCTCGCCCGCCGTCCAAGCCGTTGTCGCGCGCCTGCTCGTGCGAGATCCGGCAAGACGAGCGGCAGTGTCGGACCTGTGGGACTTGGAGTGGGTGCGCGGGGAGACGAAGGCTGCGGGGCGGGTCCGGCGTGTTGCGGCGGAGGACTGGGCGAGGAGAGGGTCCGAGCTGTTTGAGTGACGGGTACTTAGCTGGAATGGAGTTTGTTGGTATCGCTTGTCAGGCCAGGAGGAGGAGAGGGTGGGAACAGGTCGCTCAGTTCAAGCAGGGCTGTGCTGGGAAGTCAAGAGCGGACGTAAAAGGTGCACTAGAGGAGATGAGGGCTGGCAGGTCGCGAGGTAGACAAGTCGGATGGAGACGGATGGGAGGGAGTCGGCGTCACTGGGATTGGGTGAGCATGGGAGAAGAGGTAGCCGAGAGCGGGATCTGGTGTCGGTGGAAAGACTTCGAGGGGGCTAGGGTTAGGGTTAGGGTTAGGG